ACTCTACTATCTTATGGTCAAGTCTAACCCGACCGGCTGTAGGTGTCTTAGCCGATGGAAAAGTTTACGTCGATGGCGGCAACACGTACGTGCCGAAGAACAATAACACATTCTATAACACAGAAGCCGGCCAATATGACGCGGGAATGCGTGAGCATACTACCATCAGAGCCCTATGCCTTGCCGTCCTAACACACCCCAGATACTCAACTCCTCGTCCTAGACCTCTCACAAAACTTCACAAACCAGGAAACCAGCCCGTACTCATCCATATTCAAGAGCCCCGATGTCCCCAACGGCCTCATCGAACACGCGCTCTGGTACTCCCAAACCACCCGCAGGATCTATCAGCTCGGAGGGTGGTTTTCCTTCAACAGCCCCAACAACCCATCCTTCATTGCCGACCCGAATATACCCGAGCCGGCCATCTGGGAATTTGACGTCGACGGCGGGCGATGGTCCAAGTCGATCAACTTTGATGTGGCAAATAATGGCGAGATTGTGGACAGGCCTGGCGCTGCTGCCTTTTGCGACGCGCCGACGTTGAATAGGAGTTACATCTTTGAGGGATACGTGCAGAGGAGATCTAGTCCCGCGAACGCTGCGTATACGGCTTCAGCTGACTTTCGGTGTAAGTTGTTTTGATGTCCTACTTCCTCTATCTAAGCAGCGAGAAAGAATCGAGGCCTGACATCTTGCAGTCCTCGAAGGCATGCTCGAGCTTGATACCGCAGAGCGCTCTCAGCCGAAGCTCACCAACATTTCTGTCCCGACATACGTCGGCCCGCGCATGAACGGCGCAATGGTTCACGTGCCCGTTGGCGAAAAGGGGATCATTGTCAATATTGGCGGCCAGACCACGCGAGACCCAACGCCTTTCGGTATTCGCATCGAGGGTGCCAACGCAGGAAACGTCAATGCAAGTTCCCTCCAACCCCTAGGCAGATCCCCTTAATTAACACGCCCCCAAAAGACAAACCTCTCCTTCGTAGACATCTATGATATCGAAACAGGCTTCTGGTTCCGCCAAGAAACCTTTGGCCTCCCCGACATACCAACAGGCCGCTCCGACATCTGCACTGTCCTCGTCCCCGCCGCCGACAAATCCTCCTGGAACATCTACATGATCGCCGGCGTCGAGAACTACGCGACCTACATCACCTCGGAAGAGATCTGGGTCCTCACCCTCCCGACTTTCACCTGGATCCTCGTCCACACCCGCGCCGACGGCATGTACGGCCACACCTGCCACGCCGTCGGCGAGAACCTGCTCATCGTGGGCGGCATGCAGACCAAGAACGACGGGGGGATGCAGAATGTGAATACCTGCGCCGAACACATGCCCGTTGAGATCTTTTCGCTCGCGAGCCAAAATTATACGGGCCGATATGATACCGAAGCTGCGAAGCGTCTTGCGCCCGTGCCGTCGCAGGTTGTCGCTGCCGTGGGCGGGACGTCGTCGGGTGGTGCGAGTCAGAAGGCACCGAGAGCGTGGAGTGATGTCTATTTGCAGTACATCTTTGATCCGTCACTGAGGAGACCGGCGTATACGCCAGAGTATACTCTCGTTGTAGAGCCCAGCAGCACGGTATCGCCGTCTTCATCTGCTTCATCGACTACCCAGCCGGATTCTGGTGGTCCATCAAAGGGTGCTATCGCAGGCGGAGTTGTAGGCGGTGTTGCTGCCATTGCGTTGGTGGGACTCGGTGCATTCCTGTTCCTCCGGCGGAAGAAGAAAAGGAGGGCGCATGAGGCGGCTGGCACAGAGGTGTCGCGACAGAGTGCCATGTCGGAGCTGCCTGGCTATACCCCCTACTCTTCTCCCGAACCGAAGCCTGGCTTCCTCGACTCGCCGACGTCGCCTGGTCACCAACGCGACGTACATGCCCATGCTGCGGAGCTCGAGGTTCCAGCTAGTGCGAGCGAGATGCCGAGTAGTCCGCGGTATGGCGGCTCGTCGGTCGAGATGGGAAGCGATGCCACGGCTAGCCCAAGAGTTGGCGATATTAGCCCGCGGGTTGGTGAAGTGAGCCCGAGGGTCGGCGATGTCAGCCCGAGGGTTCCTGGTGATGTTAGTCCCACGCTTGGGGATGAGGGATCAGGGTATCATGCTGGGCGGCAGGCGGGACATCACCCTGGAAGGTGATGTTTGCTTCGGTAGTGGTCTAGTACTTCGTGCACGATGAAAGTTCGTAGGTTATGGTGGATCTTCTTAACATGGAGGGCTTCGAAAGTCAGGTTGCCATTCAGGAACTAATCAATTCTTCTAAGAAAAGACGTAAATGATATTCCACTAAGCACAGCGATGTCTGTTGCTCCTGAAAACTATTTGCAATTCCAAGCTTCAGAAAGAAACTGTGTTCGACCACTCGAAATTGCGAGTTCTTATTAAACTCTCGAATTATACTTGAGCGGCATATCCTCTTACTTTTCCTCGCTAAGATTCTATCTACCACTAAGGCGTTCATACTCATTCCCGTTCACCGACTATTCCCGATGATGTCCCGAAGAAACTTGACTTGAATGCCCAAACTAGATTACTACTTCGCTTCTAAGCTACTACTTTTGATGGAGAACTTCAAATAGAATCGGAACCGGTCTCAGAACTAACATCTTCGAATCCGCTGTCAGAGACAGAGAGGTAGCCGTCCTTAACGGCGTCATCCATATTCAAGTCTTCCAGATCGACAGCGACATCCTCGGGCTCCTGAACCGGCTGGCAGGGCTCTTGGGTACTGCCGAGAATGCCCTGGTTCTGCTCCTTGAGACAACTGTTCTCCTCTCGTAAGGCCACGATCGTCTCCCCCAGCTCGTCGATATGGGCCTGTAGCTGGATTATCTGCGTCTGGTCGACATCTTTCAGCTCCTCAAGGCGGTTGAGAATAATTTCAGCTCGGTCCAGAGCGTCCTTGAGCTGGCAGATCTCAGTTTGGTCAAGGTCCGCCATAGCGTGATCGACTTCCAGAATGGTCAGGGAAGCAGCCATGGTGTGTGTTGGAAGGGTTTTGGGGTAGTGTGGTATATAGATGGTAGCTTGGAATGGTTGATTTGTGGTATTTGTAGGCTTTTGAGGGTGTGTGATGCTCCTTTGTGTTTTGGTAATGCCGAGAAAGGGGCTCAAGTTGGTGTCTGCTTTTTGTCAGCCAAGGTGTAATCTAGGATTCTGTGATGAAATATAGAAGTCTGAGGAAGAGAGTTGAAGAAAGAAGCTGTCTCCTTTTATAAGATTCCAACAGAAGGACCGGGTAGACGGGCATGTGCCGGCAGGGAAACATGAAGCAGGCTATTCACATCACTACTTGTCGATTTTGTAAGTGAATACCAGCTGAAGCTCAGCATTTCCGAAGATGTCGTTGAGATCGAAGGTCGTAAAATTGAGTGACACTCATTTATGCACTCATAAACAGGCACAAAGGGACTAGAGAGTGCAAAATACTTGCACAAATATGAGTGAAGCACTCACAAACAACCAGAAAAGGGTTTGAGGATGCAAGATAGAGGACTAAGCAAGTGATGAAGAGCTTATGGAGCTGACCATACAGGCATGGCTTTGAGGTCGCACAACTCATGACTAATTGTGTGTGACGCGCTCACAACAACCAGAATGAGACCGGAGGTCGCAACATGAGTGTCAGGGTGTGGATGATTGAGTTCGGAGGGCATCGACACGCGCATTCACTTGCAGGTGATAGGGGCAATAGGTCGCCGCCGTGAACTTAGAGTTAAAGATCCAAGGGGGAGTCATGGGAAGTAAGTATATACATGGGCAGTGATGGAGTGCATGGAGTTGGGGAAGAGGTGTAAATAAGGGGAAATGGGAGCTGACCAACCTGCAACTCCAACAGCGTCGTATTATCCACTACTTAGCTTAGTGACGTTCGGCCGATCGAAGCTGCAGGATGTAGGCGGAGGCTATATAGCGGGGGCGAAATGAATGCTTTTCTGGGTGGAAGATGTGAACCTAACTCTGGACTGTTGACGAAATGGAGACTTCGACAGACGTGATGGGTGGATGATGGAGGGGCGGGTGTCAAAGCCGGCACAGCGGGGAACGGGGGATTGCTTTCCCAAAGTGATATTGCGGTATTGATTTGATCAGTGATATCGGTGGACTAAAGAATTCTTGCAACGGTCTCCTTTATTTGGAGCAAAAAGGCTACTCGTCGACAGATAAGTAAGGTAAAATGAACTGCAGAAGGGCGTTGTTGTTTGTGTGTCTTGGCTGGCTAGGCTTTTGTTGGAAGACCTTGAGGTGCAGTTGATCTAGTTAAAGTTCAATTCAGGAGTTGGTGCAAACAAGGACTATTTATACTCAAGAGACCTCGTGCTAATCAATCGCTACAGGAATGAAGCCGTAAATTTTTTTTTTCTTTGTTCACGATACTGTTAACAGCCTTCAGTGTTGATGGCTTCAAGCAGCTTTTAACAATCTGGATCCTGCTTTCAACCGCAGGTGTGTGAGTGTGTTCGAAGTTACATGGGCTCGGCGCTTATGGTCTTGCTAAGCGCCTTGGGGGGTCGACAGACCAATGGCATAGGTATTGTGAGCGGGAGGGCACTGGAGACTCCAAAGAAGACTCTCGCTCCCTCCGCAGGCTTGAAGAGTTAGAAGACTCTATTGTAGGCAGCGAGATAGATGCATATATCATTCAACCTGGTGTACTAGAGAGACTCATCAAAACCTCTCGATGACGAAAGGAGTTGAACATTACGGATAGGCAGCCAAATCTCACTTTTGAGAAGGCTCAGAGTTGGGAGTGCAGAACGGGATGCTAAAATTATACACCAATCATGTCTTCAACCCCCAAACGTTGGTTGGCCTCCGACATGACCGATCACCCTCACATGTTTTTGCGTTGGGAGCATGTTTGGGGATTGAAGCTACTCCCTCCAGGCATCAATTTTACAAAGAAACTAAGACCCTCGTTCGTAACATCTGTTTTGCTGAAGACCTGTCCTTGAATCACCACTGCAAACAACCGAAAGACATCAAGAGCGCGATGCAGGCACTCAGGAATGGAAAGGCTTATGCTGAGGTGGCAGCTGTCGGCCTGCTGAGGTCGGAAGTGTTGCCGCCCGGTGTCAGCAACCAACAGCTACTTCGCGGGGTGGGCGGAGAAGACACGAAGGCTCCGCCAGAAGAAAGCGAAGATGAGTCCGACGAGCCATCAAGACTGAGAAAGGTTTGCCAAAGCATGCATTTGAGTAAGATGAACAGGCTACTGACATGTCTGGAACCTTCGAGGCCGCCGAGTGGGTTCGCGAAAACCCCGGGACGACTGTTTGCTATGGCGTGAGTGCAGGCAGTCTTGTCGTTTTGGCCGCACCAGCTCTCGTCGCTGCACCAGCCCTGGGACTTGCGGGCTTTGGCTCGCAGGGAATAGTCGCCGGTAAGTAAAATTCTCAAACTCGAGGCATAGTCAACCTTTGCAGTTGAAAGCTTTGATCACTGACTCTTTCGGGTCGATAGGCTCTGCGGCAGCAGGCATCCAGGCCGGAATCGGGAACGTCGTGGCGCCGAGCCTATTCGCTACCCTCCAGAGCGCCGGAGCGGCTGGCTACGGTGCCGCGGTCGTCAACGGAGCGATACAGGCGGGCGCTGGGGTCTCTGCTACTGCGTTTGCGTGGTGGGGGGCAAAGAAGAAAGATTGTGGAGAGAATGGCAAGGAGGAAGAGGTAGGCGGGGATAAGAAGCCAAGTGCCTAGCAGGACTAGAAGCAGGCAGCGAGTAAGACTTCTATCTAGGCTTAGATTGATGGACGAATGAATCGATGCCACTCTCATGATGAACAGAATGTCACATACTGCTGGGAATCAATCATCGCGAACCTTTGATGTTGTACACGCAGAGGCTCCATCAGGAAAACTGATCTGCGTGATGCCATGACTTTCCACAGTCTTCTCGTGCATCTCATAGGCAGAAGCGATCATCATATTGATTGTAAGTGGGGTTATTTGTCAAGACAGAAGTTGATCTGAAGATTGCACCGTTTGTGTTTCTAACCGGTCTCGGCATACTGAACCTTGGAGTTGAGATCGGCCATTCCCTGACAGTCCGACACAGGTGGTTTTTGGATTGATTGAAGGTCACTATTCGTGGTTGAAGACACCTTCCTATCCTCCATGAGGCTTCGACGGGAAGAAGTTATTGAATCAACAACCCGGCCGTAGACTAATTCTCCTTTGCACAGCACTGACAATCCATAGTTACGGTATCGCAAGTGTCAAGCTCCGCAATGAGGCCTGCTAAGCTTTCAGAGCCGCCCGCAAAAACCTGGAGAACGCGTCGTCTACGGGCCTCAAGCGGTGTCACCTGGGGTTTCCTCTGCCCAAAGAAACAGAGTCAAAAAGCACCCAGGGCTCTTTCAGTGCGAGCGGGCAATTATTTTTGCGTTGGCGTCTCGAATTTCTCGGTTCGTCCGATGCGTCGCAGATCTACAGGCTGTCTGCATCTGCTGTGGTGAGCGTGACTGGCCTTGAGACGAAGCTTGACTCGGTTCATAGCCTTTGCGCTCTCTCCTTCTGCTGTCCCTGGAGTTCTCGAAGGGCTGGTTGGAGCAGAACCAGGAACCCTCGAGTCGGAGACTCCGTCTAGGTCTGCAATTCGGGTCAAAGGGTCTCAATGTCGTTATTGCGAAATCTCCAGAGGCAGACAGCAGTGCAAAAGGTCGTTTCTGGGAGACAGTCATCCAGGTACAACCGCGCAGGCAAACTTCGTGCGATGAACTTAGCCCTCAAGCTCCATGTCACAAAGGTTCACAAATTTGCCACAGGGCAAATAATAAAAGTCTGCTCAGATCAAGGGCTCTCTCGATACGATCCTCCTAGAATTTTGAAAGTGCGCAGCATTCGGTCGCGGAAAATCACATCAGATTCCCAGCCTCAACCAACACCTATACTTTCAGATTCTCGTCTTTCTCCTCAGGAATCATGCATCTCTTCAAGGCCGGCCTACCCGTCCTTGCCGTATGTTCAGTCATCCAAGCCATCCCTGTCAACACTGGCGAAGGACGCGATACGGCCTTACACCGCCACGATGGTCTCAAAGCTTCAGACACACGTCAGGAAAGCAGAAGTGCGGGTGGTTTTGTGCCTCCTCATATTCTCAGAAATATCACCCGCAGTCCTTTCGCCACAGACGATGAGCGGCGCACTGCAAATCGGACCTTGGTGATTGATGGGGAGCGATGGGGGCCGCAGCAGCCGACAGATTAATCGGTAGCTGTTAGGACTCAATTAGAGATGACCGACAAGACAGCCGCAGTGTAATTCCACTCGACGAGCTTCGGTAAAGAAAAGAATCACTCCGCAGTCCTGCTGCCCAGGTAGCTGACAACATGACAAAAAGAAAGGGTCGCGTTTCAAGTATTCAGCTCGGACGCAGGGACGGCAGACTGCCATCCGGAGACTCAGTCAACTCGGCCTTTGCGAGCCCCGCAAGCCCGGCGGAATACGGCCGAGTGTGGAACTGGTGATTGTCTTGGTGAAACATCTTGTCCTATGCGCCGTCTTTGGGAGGAGATAGCAGGCAACCCATCGATCCAAGAGCCCGCAATCCGGAAGCCAGCTTCTAGCCCTGCGTTTGGCGGCCTTTCTTTTCTTCGCAACCACAAACAGACCTGGCTCGGAACGACCGGCAATCGCTGCTGCATGCCGACCCTTACTTCAATGGGGTGCTTTATGGTACCTTATCACTGATTGCCTCAACGGCAACGCATCATTATTATCATCAGATCTCTGGGCGGAAACCCCCGTGATTAGATATCGTATGCCGCGAGTTGGAGAAGACTCCGGAAACCTTGGTCAAGACTAGATTTCTCGCTACTTTATCGAAATGAAGCTATTCCCATCAATTCCCTCGCATTGGCCACTGACAGGCCACGTGTTGTAGATCAGCAAACCTTCGAAGTATCCGAACTTGAGAAAGTTTGCAGGCCCTGCTGGACCGTGCTTTACAACTATTTGACATGCTGACTCACCATCCGAGCACAAAAGAGAGACGGCCTCGGTAGCTTTGGGGGACCAAGGGGATTCCTTCGGGATCATCTCCGGGAACGGGAGTCTTCCGGGCCCGGATGGCCTCGACGCCAACTGCCGACGATGTAGTGATTTTCCTTGGTTTTGCTCGGGACCAGAGGGATGATGCGGGCCCGTTTCTGGGGTTCTTCCAAGGAAATGCCACGGATCCGGAGCGTTGCATCACCTGTCGGATCCTGGATGCGACGGTGGGCGGATGCTCGAAAAGACCACTCCGACTGACTCCCTGAGGTCGCACTGTTCGGATATCAAGGGAAAGCTCGAGCATCTATATACAGCATACGGTACACTTTGAGAGGAAGAGAGTTTGCGTGGTATTCGTTGAAAGCGGCTATGCAAAGACACGCGTTGTATGACGTCCAGTCAGGCCCAGACAAACGAGTTCTCTATGAAAATAGCCCACGGGGAGTTGGGGACAGTTTGATGTGGATGAGCAATGGTGGCTAGACAATCCGATGTGCAACGCTCATTGCACAGCACCAGCACACTTTAATTGGGGCTCTTTTTTCAGGTAAAGTTGAGAGTTGATCCAACATGGGGCGACAACTCAGGGGCTCGCAGAGGTTGTCTTGGGTAGATGACATAACCGCGCAGGGATATCCCAGCATCACCGCCCACGTCCAGCAAAGTCGTATTTAGGAACTCCCAGAGGGCGCTTCGCCCTTTTCGTCCACGTTGCTCAACGCCCATTTACTACTATCTTATCTTTGGTCGGTCGGTCGTTCTCACCTACGTGTGTTCACGGTTGTATTTCTCTCTTCTCCTGTCCGCTGAGCCTCACTTTTCAGATGCCGGCCGTCGCAGCTCCAACAGCGCCTTTCATTTCATTCCCTCGTTCATTTTAAAAGAAACGATACACATTTCCAGTAGACCACACGCATGTTTGCTCGCAACACCCGAGCGAGAGAAAAAGGCACCATGTGGGAAGAATCCACGCGGGGCCGGGAGGGGCGGCAGTTTAAAGAGCAGAGCCCATACGGCGACCACGACGCCGTAGGTGAAAAGGCATCGGCCGCCGCAGCATCAGCGACAAGAAACAGCGCAGACAAGATCAGATGCCTCGATGGGCTCCGCGGAATCGCCTGTTTACTCGTCTTCAACTACCACTTCCTATGGCCCTGGACGCCGGCCATCATGCTGGGCTATGGAGCCATGCCCCCCGGATCGCCCGAGCCGTACTTTGAACGGTCATCCCTGCCCATCCTGTGCCTCTTACAACGAGGACGACCTATGGTGGCCATCTTCTTCGCCATCTCGGGATACGTCCTCTGCAGGCATATTCTGAGAGCGATTCACGAGCGGCGCTTCGAGGCCGCTTACCAGAGCCTCGCGTCGTCCGTCTTTAGGCGCGTATTCCGCCTCTACATTCCCCCAACCATTAGCATGTTCCTCGTTGCGCTACTTGCTCAGATGGGCGCCTTCAAGTCCGAGTTTGAGATTTACAAAGGGCCCGACTCGAGGTACATCAACGGTACTGTGACTGTCGCCACATTGAATAACACTTGTGTGAATGGCACGTACTCTGTCGAAGGAGCCGCGGGGATCGCCAAGTTTCTCGGCTTACGAACCCCGGCTTTCCTGGGAAATGTCACGACTAACGACACAAACACGCTGTGCCTGAATGCCACGTCCCAACTCTTCATGCCTCCAATGCTGTATGCATTGGCAGATGACATTGAGGCCGCTTCCAGGGTGGTGAATGAGACGAGCAGCCTGAACGGCACTGCAATCAACATCACGATGCAGGACGTTGGGGACAAGGAGACACCTGAGAAACACAGGTCCTACCACGACCTTCTCCACCTGCACTCCAGACCAGCACTTCTCGATGACGAGAAAGACTCGGCCAACGTCACCAACCCGGTAAACTTCACTTGGGTCCAGCTAGGTGGCTCATGGGAGGAGCATCCCTTCATCCACGACAATATCACCTATGCTCTGAAGAACTTCACGAGAGCCTACGTCGAGTGGGCCAACCCTTTCAACTTTGGCCACTACCACACGCGCTACGACCCGCACACCTTTACCATCCCGATGGAGCTCCGCGGCTCAATGTTCATCTACCTCTTCCTACTCGGCACGGCAGCTATCCAAGCAAAATGGCGCCTTCGAATCGGTGCCCTTCTCTCCGCCTACAGCCTAATCCTAGGCCGATGGGATATGGCCACCTTCATGGGCGGCGTCCTCCTCTCAGAAGCGGACATCAGACGGGCTGACCGCGGACTGATCCCCCCAGCGACGAACGGCAGGAAAGGCCAGCAGGCAACTATCGGACAAAAGTTCCTTGGATCAAGAACAGCTCGATGGGGGGCGCTTTTCGTGGCACTCTACCTGCTCTCGTACCCCGACGCCGGAGCCGAATGGACGCCCGGGTTCACTCTCCTCTCCTCGCTCGTGCCACGGTACTACATTCCCCTCTCCGGCTGGATGTTCTACCAGGCCATGGGTGCTATGCTCCTCCTGCCCTGCGTCCTTCATAGCCCCTTCCTCCGCGGCGCGCTCGAGGGACGGGTGGCGCAGTACCTGGGCAAGATCAGCTTCTCGTTCTATCTCGTCCATGGGCCGGTGCTGCATAGTCTAGGATTCTGGATCATGCCTAGGCTCTTTGAGCGTTTCGGCCGCAACCTAGGTTTCGTTGTCGGCTGGGTTATTTTGCTGAGCGTGTCGCTGTATTTGTCAGACTGGTGGTGCAAGAAGATTGATGCTTGGAGTGCGAGTGTTGGACGCCGGGTAGAGAAGGCATTGAAAGACTGAGCTGGAGCTCCGGATTTTTGTAAAATTGCTTTCGTAGTTATTCCCTATGGAATAATCAAAAGGTCATGATACCCTCATCTTGATTATTCCTGGTTACGCACCTTGATGGCCCTCATCCGATCCCTTTTAGGCACCAAAGAATGACCACTTTCCAACAAGCATCGTCCGTTGTAGTCGATGACCGAGCGGTACGATTCGTATGTTGGCTCACGATCCTACACAATGCCATGGATAGCTTGTTTTTTGCCAAGGTCGCGGGTTCGAGTCGGCTCTCGTCTTCTATTTCCTCACCTTCTACGCGTGCATGCAGTAGTGAGAGGACGGCTCATGTGGTCTCCGCGCAAATCTTCATGCCTCACTGATGAACACTCTTGTTGCACGCGGTATGTCAAATGAACAGATGGCAGGATGTTATTCTTGATACATTATGATTGTCTAGCTGTATGATACAGGCTTACTGCTACTAAATATCTGTAAGGTGACGAAGCCTTACAGTAGGGCAATACAGCTGATAGTCTTCCCATATTATGAGAGGGTATCGATAATCAGTGATGACGCTGAACAATCATCTTGTTCCTCATGCTTCTCCTGCGTCGAGTAGGATGCGCAGGCTGCTTCCAGATAGGTTGATCAGGATCATAACCAACAAGGCAGTTGACCGTCTCCGCGCCCTCGCCAGCATCGTTAATCTCGCTGCCGACAGGATTCTTCCATTGCCCAGTGAGCTTGATATATCCATCAAGAGCATCAGTCATTGTCTTGCCCAGCTCGAGCGCCTTGGCAGCTCTGCTGTGCGAGTAGTACGTGAGCAGCGAATGCGCCGCCTCACGCTCGTTGTTCTCGATGAGAACTCTAGCGCTTGTCTCGACCCAGTCCACGTCGCTGCGGCTCTGGTTCTCGAAGCCCGTGAGCATCTGCGTGACGATGGGCAGATAGATGTCTGGGGATGAGCACATGTAATACAGCACGCGCTTGAAGATGCGACCGGCAAAGACGCTCGCCTCCTGCAGCTGGAAATCCGGGTTCAGGAAGCTACCCGAGGCGCCGGTGGTGAGATAGCGGTGCTCAGCGAATTCGGGGGGCACGCTGTTGACACCGAGCCACCACGGCACGAATGGCGACGAGACGGAAGTCGCAGGAGCATTCCAAATGCGCAGCAGGTCCGCATCGATACCAGCTTTCAAGCTGACGATTTGCCCGTAGCCTGCCTCGTCATCGGCGATGCGCTTGTCGCGGACGCGCTCCATCAGCTTCTCCTCGGTGAGAGGAACCATCTCAAGGGTGGCGTTCTCGAGCGCGGCTTGGGACATGAACTTGAAGCCGCCGTCACGGGCAGTCATATTCTCGCCCTTTTCGCCGTACGCGTTGAAGATGTTGAAGGGCACGCCCCCGTTGGGATCCCACCAACCTTGCTCGACGGCAAAGGAGACAATGTTCTCGGAGCCCATATAATCGGAGCTGTTGGCAAAGTCGGTGGGAAAGTCCTCAATGTAGCCAGGGTATAGAACGCGGACCTCGTCGGTCTTGAGACGCTCTGCCGCCCATAGCTTCTTGCCGCCGGCCATCTCCCAGACAACCCAGCCCTCGTCCTTGTCGGCGACCAAGTGAGTGTTTCCGCCGTAAGTTGCCTCGCCGTACTGGTTCATCAAGTCGCCAATGATTTCCACGCCCTCTCGAGCAGTCCTAGCTCGTTCCATGACGATGCGCGCAAGGTCGCTGTACTGGATTCCGTGCTGCGGGGTCGGGGTCATGTTGACTAGCTCATCGCGATTCTGCGCCCAAACGTCACGGACGGTGACGCCGTTCTCGTTGAGGCCGCCGTTGGTGAGCGGCGCTGGGAAGCCCTCGAAGTCCGAGTACTCCATCGACATGTACCGGTAGGTGTGGCTGACCTGCGCAATCGTAAAGAGCTCGCCGGGAATGCTGGCCTTGTCCGTCACGCCGACGGTGATCGTTGCGTTAGCCGCGTGGTCGGCGGCGGGAAACAGCTGGAGCCAGTGGGAGGAGACTTCTTCGCCGGTGCCGCCGACCATGACGCTCCCGTCGGCGGTGAGGTCCTTGCCGACGTAGAAGGCGTAGCTAGCGGAGGCCGGCCCGGCGAGGGCCGCTAGGACAACGGCAGAGCTTTGGAGCATCATCTTTGCCTGTGATTAGCGAAGATGGCTCTGAGCGAGTTGGTTGAGGTGGACAAGAAAGAGGAACTGTCAAAGAAGAGGAACACCGCCCCTCATCAAGAGGGACTTTTCTCCTCACCCCTCGCTAGAGTCATTTTTCGGCAATGATGTTAAATGGAAGCCTCCGATGTTGACTTCGGAGTCGTGTTACCCCACACCGAAATTTCCGGTATCGCTAGCGGTGAAGATAACGGGTGTGCCAAGAACCGTCATTCTGCGCGGTAAACACACTTAAATGACAATGATAAGTGAACGACTGACAAGGATCATCTTGTCTCCCTGGAAATGACCCCATGGGTTTGCAGACGCGGTCCCTTGTTCCTGGGGAAATAATGGTTAGAATTACCGCAATTCGACTCAATCGTTGATTGACTCGGGTAAATAAGCGACTAAAGTTACCCCATTGGAGAACATTTCTGCAAGTCATGCTCCAGTAGACTCGGACTATGATTCCCCATGCATGTTCTTCATCCACGTGTTATAGGAGTTGTCTCTTGGGGTGTCTTCGGAGCTTATTGGCTATGACTTGGACAATACCCAGATAATTCCTGTTCTTTCAAACACTTTTCCCAAAGCTTTTGCAATTTCGGAGCCCCACGTTTTCGATCAATATCTGGCAACGACCCAGCAAAGGAAGACAACGGTAGGGAAGGATATCAAGACCCCGTCAACACAGCCTTTCCAAGTGGGACCTCTGGAGGGAGAACAGACTTTGATGGTAAAGTTGCGAGATGATTTCATTGATACACCTATCCTCGATCAACGCTTTACTCACCTATGAGGACTACCGGACTACCTCGTGTTCTTTCCAAGTTCCCATTACCTTCTCCCCCGGGTCAAACATCGCCTCTAAGGAATGTAGGCGTATAACTCAGTGTTGGTCGATGTTGCACTGGTTGATTCTAGTATCGTCTTTCAAGTGAATATGATCGCGTTGCAGCTTGCTTGCTCACTCTCTGGATATCGTCTCTCTGCTCTCACTCCATACCATAGTCTTGCCCGGGGCTGCCTCAAGGCCGTTTCTAGTCGTGTTGAAGTCCTGCAATGACTGGTAGGAGCCATTCTTGGCTTGACAGCCCTGACAAAACATAGCCTCCGTATTTCCTTTCGATATCAGCCCATCAGCAGTCCAAGTCAGTATTCTCCAAGCTGCTTGAAGAAAAACAAGATTCGCTAGCAGAATCGAAAACAACATAACGCCACCGTTCTTTTGTTGAGGAACAGAACAAAGATACTGACTGACAATGGTGGCGTTTTTGCAGCTCAGGGGCCCCATCACTTTCGAATCTTGGATTTTCTTGTAGCTCTCCAGAAGCGTAACTTTACCTTTGTTGTCACCCATAGCTTGAGGAAGAGGGATCTCGTTGTAACGATCTACTCCAAGTGACGACCCTGAACCGTTCAGAAGCTGTCCCGGATCCCGGTTGTGATCATCCGGCGCCAAAATAGCATATTGGAGCCCACGACCGTCGAGAAGGAGGTTCGGCGCCTGGCAATTACCGAGATCTAAGGAAAGTAAAGAAAATAGAATCTTTGCGCAGTGGAGCCCTTCTGTCAATGCTGGAGATCCGAACCACTACATCCCGACAATTGCTAACATTAGCTAACGTGACTTCTCTTGACAGTCGTAATCTGTGAATACAACATTATAGAAGCGATGAAACGACATACATCAGAATTATAAGCTTTTCGGCTTTTGTTCGAATTGCTGTCAAGAACCGAGGAGTCTGAGTTTCCGATCGACCAGTAAAGACCGAAGAACTCATTGGTGTATATACTGAATCGACAGGTGAGCAACTAACAGTCAAATGAATGAGCCAGAGTGACCTACTCTTGTTCTCTTGCTTTGGGAGTGTAGGAGAAATTGCCACTAATGGCATAGGTCTCGGAGCCGAATATATTCGTCATGTTTGTGGCGGCGGCGGTCATCACGCCGCTCCAGTATGCGTTGAGAAGTCTGGTCCCCCACCAAATGCTTGCAACCTTCTTCTCGTTGTCTTCTATGACATAGCTATAGTCATGGGGCCCTTCACCAGTAACATCCTCGGTAACGAGAGTTATGGTCACCAGGCCGTTATCTGTCACAACTGCGCAGTCCACAGTCGCTTGCATTGTAGAATCTCTCCAGGAATACCACCAAGCAGGAGATGGTGGCACCGCAGTGTCACTCTTCTTCATCTTCAAGACAATTCTGTTGGGCGAGCATCCTTGGAGAGTGTTATTCTTGTAATTCAAGGTGGATAGTGAACCTTTTGTTGGTTCTGTAATGGCTTTGATAATGTATCTAAAACCCAGATTGGTGGTGAAAAAGGAATCGCCGATTGTGAGCAGACGTGGCTGGCACTCTGCCTGTACGTCGCTCCTCCAATTGAACGGAGTCTTTCTGAACCATCTCAAACCGCAGTGTCAGCACGGAAATGATCTCCCAATGTGGTATCGTAGACCTACTTTGCGTTTGAAGAGGCTTCGGTGCCATTGGGGTCAGATGTATACAGTGGCTTCAATAAGTAGCCGTTTGCGCTCAGATTGATGAGTGAAAGTAAGACAGTGAGAACAATGCCGCCAACTAAGGCGACAGGTGTGAACCATCGAAAAGGATATGGCTTGGAGATCGAGTACGAGAACCACGACCGATGCATCTTATCGCTCAGTCGCCGATAGCTTCGATGACCCTCAAGCACCTCAAGAGATGAAGGTTGGTCCAGGGCAGGAGATGGTGTATTTGGTCGGGGTGGCGTACTGTGTTTAGATCTAAGCAGTCGGTCATCAATGTAAGCCTATCCATTCCGAAGGGGCAGCTGACTTCTTATTTGCCACGATTTGCCATGCGTTACGAACCCCGGGCAGCTGCGGCCCTGGGGATGTGCAGATTGGTCATCTACATCCATTATCCACACCACAGCGAAAAGCTGCTTCTTCGGGTTTGCTGCCTGCAATGATGGACGAACCACGCAATTCGGTGCAATTACCGTTGCTTTGCTCACCAACCAGAAGAATCTGCAATAGTATTCGAGGTAGGCAGATTTCCAGAATTGGTACAGCCTGCCTAAGGTAGGATTGTGAATCCCTGGGATCAGAATGCTTGCCAATGGCGTCTTACCTGCGTTTTACGAGCCAGTATCCATGGACCACACAGGGCGTACGGGCTTACTCAGATCCACTGCCCAGCCGAGCTGCGAATCAATGGCATGCGTTTGGGTGCCGTTAGCGAAGAAAGCCTTGTCGTAGGTCTATGGCCCAATTAAAGTCCTACCTGGCTTCCGGGTTGCTAATCCATCCTGCCTTGCCTGCATATGACGGCCATTCTTTAGCATTAGCGATGTCAACATAGCCTGCCTGACGGACGACATATTCATCAAGATATTTCCGGCATGAGGCGTTGGCGTGCAAGACAATATACTTGAGAGGTCATAGTTTCATAGATCACGTGTGAATATCAAAGCTTAGGTAGGCGGTTCCAGTCTTACGTGGTGTCCATACTGCAACTTCCTAGTAACAATCAGTTGCATTGAAAGGGATATATGGATATTTACACCACTTCGCTAGCAAAATCTATCAAGGAGCGCATTGGCAGTTGCTTCACGTCATTATCAGCAAGGTGAAGTCATACATGGAAGAGCAAGACTTTGACTCACCAAACAGTTGAGGTCAACTGGGTGCACTGCTTGTATTGCAGCTCAGGGTTGGTACACTGCGGAAGCAACAGTCAGCTCGCTGAATCTATTGACTTGAACCCCTTTTTGGGAAGGTAAACTGACGACCAGTTTGTCGCGGACACTGGGGCAAGGGTCAACAGGCGCAGGCGGCGGCCTGGCCAACGCAGCACCGAAGACTGCAAAGAAAACGAAGGCGGAGAGCTGCATTTTGGCGTAGTAATTGAGAACGGGCGAGACTTGGAACTGGACTGTTCTGCCTATGATAAGTCGAGGAATTCTGGAACTTTTTATACGGACGAGTTGACTCGCTGTGAGGGAGACAATCAGGCCTGGCGAAGGAATTAGTACAGCTTCGGCAAGCAGTTCCGGGTCGGTGTTCCTTACAGGTCCGATGCAATATAGCAAACTTCGCTTCCTTCTAGTCTAAACTCTGTTTTGGTAAGTTCAGTATACAGGTGCTTCGATACGGGGAACTTTTGCCGGCTTTAGATAGGTGAATGACTCGAGATTTCGTGACTGATCATGCCGAATCGCAACAAATTGACAACCGGCCCCGACCGCTCGCAAGTGAAGGACGCGATTTCGAGCACTTTGAGTTTAAGAAACTCCCCAGAACCAAGATCATTGCGGCGTTGTGTCCCGAACCCGTAAGTGAAAAGCTTTGCCGCTGACCTGGTCGGGAGTGCATATAGAACCTCCTGCCGCTTTGGATCATAGGAACATCTGGAACATAGGGGTGGAATGCATCTTAGACCTTGCAAAGGGCCAATCTAGTTTAGGCGTTTGCTTGCTGAAGCTGTTTCCACAGGTCAGCGGTTTCCTAAGGTTGAACATAGCAGTATAGTCGGTGTTGGTCAGCGGAACTTGGAACTCTCACCGAGCATTAGCCAGCGAAGCGGGTGCTGTGTTTGAATTGCGGCGAGTTGATGACATAATTTAGTCCGATTAAGTCCGTTAAACGAGCGGCCATGTTCATCCCACTGGAACGCACTTAATTTGGGTTTGGTCAAAAGATTTATTGAGGCCTAGTGGCCGGGTATCATAACATCCCACCGAATCCCGCTACTTTAAGGACTCGAGAAATATCTAAGGACTCGAGAAATCACTCGAGAGGGTCTGCCGGTAATGGATAGCTCAGAAATGTCTGATTACAGGAGAAATCTGGTTATCAGGTCGCAGGCCATGGTGCATGACCTCTGAGCCAGGCCGGTCCGGCTCTTGAGAACGCCTCGAAGGCCCAGAGCCGAGTTGAACTTCGTCAGTCTTCGCAAGGGCAGCAAAATGCATCTCCAAGGACTTTCAGAGTATCACCGAAGCCTTACAGTAACTTCGAGGCAGCTGATCTTCCTTACACGACTCTCCTCACCGAATCCCTCATCCTCTTCTTCGAGCACCACATCATCGACCGTACCCACGGTCTTGGTCCTCACCTCGACCTCGCAGTCGCTCTGCTCTGTAAACCATGCTGCGATGCTGAGGACCTTCTCAATTGCTCTGCCTGTGCCGAGAACGATAGCCTCTCCATTCCCTCCTTTGGTGCCGTTGTCGCGATGGAGCAGGTCGATGCGCTGGTTGAGGTTCATGCCCCTCGTCGACGGCGCGTTGCCTTTGAGAGACTTGTCCAGTTGCTTGCGGACACGTGAGACTGCTGACATGAATGGTGTTGACGCTGACACGTAGATGAGTTGTGATTTTGATGAGTTGGGTTGTTGACGACGAGGCAAGGCACGCTTTTGAATTTTGGAGCCTGATATTGGGTTAGGCGAAGACTCATCCGACAGGGAAACTAAGTTTGGAGTGGCTGGCTTACCTTCAGGCAGCCGAGGCAACTTGTTCATAGTGGAAGACGACTGTCTTGTAGAGGGTGAATTATCTCTGCCAGCCTGGCCTTGTGTTGTTGACCGAGTCGGCGCCATGCTAGGCCAGGCAGCTGCGTGGGTGTGAGTGAGTCTGAGACTTGAAATCCTTTCTGCCTTGACGGTTTTGCGGATCTCGATGGCGTGTATGAGGTTCAAAAGGTTCTCGTCAGATAGGAGTGAGATGAAATGTGTGCAGACACCCTAAAGGAGTTCTCTGAGTTTGAGCTGTGTGATTCTAAGATACGCCGGCCTGAAATGTTCAACAAGACACCGAAAAAGATACTGAACCGTCCCCCGGATGAGAAAAGTGCATGGAGTGGGCCCAGACCCCGTCTGCAGCGGCGGGGCAGGCGCACCTTCCTCCGCTAGATCGGTTCGGCCCCCACTTAAGAAGGCACCGCGCACCGACCACCCTGGTCCAAAGCCTCCCGCGATGACGAGATGCCCTTCTGGAGCTTCAAACTGTCCACCATGAGCTAATCGAATAACACCATTCGCCCTGTTGCGGCTGCCTATGAATCTTTTTACCACACAAGACTAGTCTCACGAGCTGTCGAAGCGGAAGCGAACCTGAGTTGACAGCATGTCAATAGCAATCTGGCCTCCGGTGTCCCCAGAGGAGCTGATAAAAGGGAAACAGGAATGCCTCGTACGTACCCTCGCCGTCTCTGCTTGCCCCGCGTCGAACCCCTAATCATTGGATCCCAATCTCGGAAGACACAATGCTAATCAGACTCGACAAACTCTCACAGGCCCGCGAGCTAGAATGGATCGTCGTAGAAACACACGCGATCCTTAAGGACATCCGCCACGGCCTCCAGGACTGCTACGCTCTTCTGGCGCCCATCGACCCGGGAAGCACTCTCGTCATGAGCACGCAGCGTAACGAGCGCGTAAAGGGAACAGTGACCCGGGTCGGCACGCGGATAATCAAAGGCGTAGGTCTATTCTCTGCCGACTACCTCTCTCTTTCGCAACTACGAATCCGCGGCTGACACCTTCAAGACAATCCATCTCCAGCTCAAAACCCTCCCAACGCAGACCTTGAACCTCGACGCCTCGCACCCAGTCCACATCGCGGCTCTCGAAACAATCCACACACACCTAACAGAATGCCTCGACCTTCTCTCCCTCACAGACACACCGAGCCCTTCCAATGACCCTTCTCAGCTCGCCGCCCAGCTGCGCATCATCGCCGCCTCCCTCAACGAGTCCTCCTCTCTCCTCAAGGGCCCGGCCCTGAACGAAGTCGATCACAGCTGGCAGACCGACTCCTGTCCGCCCGTCCACTTTAGCCCAACCCTCGGGCCAAATATCAGCGTTCACCTAGGCCTCCAAGAATCGAGTCTGGTCCTCTGGTTGCGCGCTCTCGAACCCGTTGACTCGCCGGTACACTTCGGCACGAAGCTCGGTCTAGCCTTGGGGACCGTCCGAAGACTGGAACACGACGAGATGGACCGCCCTTTCCGGTTCACGTATAGCACCGTTACGGATGGCGGGCTGAAGCACAGGCATGGCACGGCGCATCCGAGGAGCAGCGGAAGCAGCCCCAGCGGGCTGGGTACACCCTCCAGTAATGGAGAAGCTACGGAGGTCTTTGTGAGGGAGAAGGTGCGGGTTGAGAGTCTGCCAGATCCCAATCTCATGTCTCTGTCTGCAAAGTTGGTTGCCTTGGGTCACACGCTGGCCAGTGCTAGGAGAAATCTAGCAGCTGTCATGGGTGAGGAGTTCGACGAGTGAAGCAATCTGTAAATGTAGTTATATACCCAGGAGTTCGGCAGGCTAAGTTGGCATGTCTTTGGCAAGGTTACTGTCTTCAAATTCCTATGTGCTGGTCTTGTTTACCAGGATTCTGTACACATACAAGTCGCCAAATGGAAGCCTTTTTCCATGATCAAACCAAGCCATCTGTCTTCCTAAAGCTGGAAAACGTAATCCCTAAAGCAGTTCATCCCTAGTTGCCTTCGCTGGCCTCACACACGCTGGACCAGGATGATTCCTCACATTGGTCAGCGTACCCAGTGTGTTGGCCTCGTTGGCATCGACAAATGAAAGCTGATATGGGCGATATGTAGAAGCATGCGATGCCACGCATAGCAGAAACGCGGCCGAGCTGAGTAAGAGTCCAAAAAACCCCCCACGATTACGCCACAGGAGACCAGGGCATCGGGATCAAGATTCTCGACTTCATGCTCTGAATAAGAGGCACAGTCTTGTGGACAGTCTCGCTCCAGCCCTCGACGCTCCAGCTCTTCTCGCGGCGGATCTTTCGCTCCTCGAGGTTGGCGAACTGCCACAAGTGGTGAACGGTGTTCAGGTCTCCTATCTGCACAAACCAAGCGCCGACACCCTCCATGACTTCGCGTCTCGCCTTGAGGCCGCGTCTCCAGTGGGTCTCCCACTCGAGGAGGTTGCCGGGGTGGAGAGTGTATGATCGCAGCTCGAAGATGCCGCCAAGCTGGCGGGGAGGCGTAGTGGGCCAGAAGGAGAACTCCTGCATGAGGGATGTCTTCTTCGAGGTGATGAGGCTCTTAAGCTTCTTATCGAACTCGGCGAATTCGGGGTGCGAGCCAATGTTGTGGATTGACTCGTGGTAACCCTGGTAGCGCTGGTACTCCCAAATATGGACTGTGACCCTAATATTAGCATCATGTGGTTCCGCTTCAGCATGGGTTGTTTTTTCTCGGCAAGGTAACATACCAAACGTATCACAGTCTCCAACTTCGGTTCTCCAGCTTCCAACTAGATGGACCTTATTCTCGGGCATGGAAGCCATGCGCGGGTACCAGCTGCCGACAAGCTTGGTGTACTCCTCCACCTTGTCGGGCTTGACCTCGTGCTGGACGATCGAGTGGACGTACTTGCCTCGGGCAAGGACCTGACTGAAGCTCGCCTCGAGCTGAGCATCGAGTTCGCGACCTTCCTTTGTGCCGTAGATGAGGTTGGTCAAGGGGCCAGCCTTGCGCGAAGGCTCCTGGGTGGCCTCGGCCTTCTGTCCTGAAGTAGCACTCACGGATGAGTCCTGGGCGGGCTCAGAGGAAGAGGCAGGGGAGGAGGAGGATTGAGTATACGCACTTGCTTCCCGCTGTTTCTGCTGCTCGACCAACTGCTCTCGGAACTGCTTCGATTTGTGGTTGAAGGAGGCGACGCTCTTGGGCGCGGCGCTGACGTCGGCCATGGAGGGCACCTTGAGCTGCTGGCTCGTGGAGCTGAAAGCTCGCAGCGCGGAACGCGGGGTCGCCGCGCCGGCTGCTCGCACCAATCGCTGGCTCAGCATCTTTGCCTTTGGTGGTTTGGGGAGGGGATTGGGCAAAGAAAGGATGTTTTTGGAGAAGGTAGGTGAGATGAGGAGGTGTATGGTGACCAAGAGGTGTCGTTTCTTCTTCTGCTTGAGCCAAGGGACGTTTTGTCTACTCAAACAAAGGTGACAAAACGTGCTCTTTGTTCAGCAAGAACAAGCCTCTGGTACGTGATGTGAAGGAGGAAGGAGAGCGAATTCGATACGTCTCGATCGGCAAGAAGCAGGAAGCACCCGAGAGCAGGGATTTATCACAGGACGGGAAGCAAGTCGGCGTGCAGAAAGGGCGTTTGGAGGCGGCGGCGGCGGACGGACGATTAGGTTGGTACGCTGGCTTGTGGTGGTAGTCGCAACCTATGCAAAGGTAGCGGTTAGGTGTCAAGGTGGTGGTGGTGGTCTCGCTCGTGCTTGAAATGGCAGTCTAGGCAAATGGGATGGATATAATTGGATGAGTTGAGGAGGAGGTCGGGCTATAACCGTGCAACAGTGGTGTGTGTCTCTCGTTCTCTGCAGATTCCCCCGCACTTTCTGGTAAAGTGAAGGCGGTAGTAGTAGAGGAGTGAAAGGAGAGAGCTTCAGGAGGAGGAGGTGTGTGTGTGGCAGGGACAAGATGAATGTGACACAAGGGAGGAGATGTTTGGCTTGCTACACTACGGGTTCGGGGTCTGGCACCACCACCATGCCAATCCCTAGGTCCCAAGTCCAACTCAGCCCCCAGAACCTGGGGAAAGCTCTCGCCGCGGCCTGCCACGGCACGGGGGAACGGGTTGCGGGTGAGCGAACCTGGAAGCTGAAGCTTGCTAAGGTCACGGGTGGGTACGTATCACCTCCAAATGCGCCCAGATGCGGAGAAGCGTCGAATGATGTCACATGAGAACCGGGGTAGAAGGGGGTGGATCCGACCTTGAGGAGACAAACGGAAGATCATTGCTGCGGTAATCCGATTATGCTCTTTTCCCGTTACTACCTGAAAGTAACAGGCCCGTGCCCGGAAAAGACCAGAAACGGACGATACTCCACTATTTCGCACCTGTCGCGGCTGTGGCCTCAGGCCACACTTTGCTCGGCTACGGGTCCAGCCGCCGAAACCGAAAGCTCAATCGGAGGAAAAAGGCTCGTTTTGATAGCTTCACATCGAACCTCCGAATACCGCCCGCCATCTAGACCCCTTCAATTTCTCCCCTGCAACCCACATCACAACCGTCAAGATGACCTGGCTCGGAGCTCGCGCACTCAAGAAGTACCCCACGCCCGTCCGTACGTATTCCTCGAAGACCGTCCCTGCGAGCCCGTCGCGCAATCGCTGACCTCCCTTACAGTTAAGCCGATGGCGCCTTTCTTCGCTGCCGGTATGTCCGAGTCCTCCGATGAACTCTGAATCCCGAGCGAACCAACTTGCAAAGAACACGAGAAAGAGAGCGAGAAGACTAGCGACGTGAAGCGCAGCGTGTGCTGATAATTCTGCAGGCCTGGTCATTGCCTACGGCATCAACTCCGCTCAGAACGCCATGATGAAGTGTACGTCGCGCAAACGAGGAACTCCCGAAAGGACGCATACTAATGTTATATACAGCCGACGAGTGGAAGAACGATGCCCGCAACCCTCTCGCCAAGAAGCATTAAGTTCGCAATGGAGTAGCCTAGGCTAGTCGGGGAGAAGGCCGAGCAACGGGAAACGTGTCGAGGATATAGACCCGCCAACGCGTTTTCTTCATGGACGCTGTATCATAGACGCACGGCTCGCATGCAATTGAGCTGTTGTACTAATGTACCGATGCCACACGTGCCATAACAATCGAGAGCTGCGGGCGTTCTGTGCCTATTCGGTGCGTGAAAGCGTCAGCAATCCGACATGACTGCGCCATTTGCTGTGTAATGACTCTGTACGCGGCATCTGCCGGACATCATTGCGTGAGAGAGAGGAGGTTTCAAAGTCGACAACCAAGAGGGGCGGTCGTCAATTCTGGAGTTGAGTCGCAGTATCACAAAGCGAGGCTCGGACGGACGGCATGCGTATCACGTGACACTGAACAGTCGATAACTCTACCATTGATTATGATAGAACAAATTAACAGATGACGTACTGTACTAGAATGATATAAAACTAGAATTGACCATATGAGACTTCATCGGACTTCGAGGAGTGATGCAATCGGTTATCGTGGCTCTAGTCCTTATCGCCGTCTCAATTCCTCTTCTTTTCGGCGAAGAGTCAACTGTGGATTTGTCAGTATCCACTTTACACTGTCACTGAACACTTCGACTTCTCAACACGCCCTTTGAACTACATCGTAGATACACACACATGATAACTTCACTTCACTTACGTCTTAGAGCTGTTGCTTCTGTCTCTCGAGTTTCTCAGTTTTCTGCCAAGACCGTCAATAATACCCACTCATACTTCAGCCACATCTTCACCTGCAAAATGTCGACGGTAGCAGGCGCAACCCCGAACGGCTCAGCAGCAAAGAAGCCCAACGGAAAGAAAGAGATTAAAATTCTCATGCTTCACGGTAAGATATGTGCCCTGTTCTCGTACTTTTTATAGAACGCCAAATTAGTCGTCCAGACCCAGCCCATAATCAACATTTCTTCTTCATGACCCCTCTCCAAATCTCATCAAAACCTCACTAACACTCCAAGGCTACACCCAATCCGGGCCCCTCTTCCGCTCAAAAACCCGCGCCCTAGAGAAACTCATCGCAAAGTCCTTGGGCCCCTTCAACCTCGCCCCAACACTCTTCTACCCAACTGGACCCTCACAGCTCTCCCCGCGCGACATCCCAGGCTTCGTCCCGGACGAATCCGCCAACGGCGAGGACCAGGAAATCGACGCCTGGGCCTGGTGGCGCAAGGACGAGTCCTCGGGCTCTTACCGCTTCCTGGACCAGGGCATCTCCACCGTCGCCGAAGCGGTCCGCGAGGCCGGCGGCGTCGACGGTGTAGTGGGTTTCAGCCAGGGCGGTGCCTTTGCTGCGCTCCTGGCGGCCATCTTGGAGGGTCCACATCGCGATGAGAAGATGCCGGAGGACCTGAAGGCTTCGGCGCAGGCGTTGCGGGAAGCTAACGGTGGGAAGCCGTTCAAGTTTGCAGGCATTTACTCTGGTTTCTTTGCGCCGCCTGAGGAGTTGCAGTGGGCTTACGAACCCAAGATCAAGACGCCTACACTGCATTTCCTTGGTAGCTTGGACACTGTCGTTGAGGAATCAAGAAGTCAGGGGCTTGTGGACCGTTGTGAGGAGCCGATGGTCGTTGTCCATCCCGGGGGCCATTACGTGCCTATTACCAAGGAGTGGGCCATGCCGCTGATCGGCTTCCTCAAGAAGATTGCCGATGAAGAGACAGCGAAGAGCAACATTTAGATGTCAGTCACACATTACGAACAAACGAATTGGGTAGGGGTATAGATAGGTACATCAAGGACATTGATTCATCATAGAATAGACCGAAGCATGTTTTACACATCCCAGCCTGGTTCATTGCCTTCGTCTAAGATAGTGTTCTACAATTACACGCCGTAACCCATGCCGAAACCCCGGCACCCATCCAGACGTCTAATGCGCCTTAGTAGACTTTCCCTTGCCCGACTTGGACGCGCCAGGCTGAATGTTGGCCATCATCTCCTCCTTGGTAATGAGATGATCAATACGCTCGAGGTGACCCAACAAGCTCTTCATGTTGGAGCTCCACTCATTCAAGATGTCATCTGCATCTCTGGGCTTCGCGAAGCTCACAATGCGCGCAGGGCGATCGATCTTGGCGTAGATAGTCTTGGAGGTAACCAGCTCGCTAATGTACTTCTCCGTCTCGTCCTCAGTGAGATCCAGCAGCTGGGTAAGGCGCTGAGTCTGGATGCGGGTGTAGTACTTGGCGACCACACGCACATTGTGCTCGATGACTCTCTTGCGGAGATCCAACCAGCGCTGGTGCGCCTTCTCGTCGTCCGACTGACCGGCCTGGGCGTCGAAGACATCGGTTTCGCACAGGTGAGGGCCGAAAGTCTTTGCAACCTCTGGCCAGCGCATGAGCTCGTGGACTGTGAAAAGCTTAAGAAGCTCGGCCTCCTGGGTGACTTGGCCGATTCTAGAGTCCTTCTGGATTCTGTGCAGCAGATCGTGCTGCTCGTTGTCGTGAGGGGCAAGAATGACGAAATAGATGATGCGTTGGAGGACCTAGAGATTGTTTGTAAGCAGTTGTGCTTGTCATAGCCGAGAGTATTGATCTTACAGGGTGGAGCTTCTTGGGGTCTTCCTCGACGGCCTCAGTGTCCAGAACCTGGCGGTAGTGCTTGCAGACATCAAGGTACTTGTCATCATGCTTCGCAAGGATGATCTGTTGCTCGTAGTACCGCAGCTTCAGGTCTGTTGTGTCATCCTCCTTCTCTTCGGGGACTTCCTCGCCTCTCGCCTTCTTCTTCTCGCGCTCCTTCTTCTCCTTCTCCAGCTGCTCGGGCGTCTTCTTCGGCTTTCGCGACAGGTATCGGGTGCTGATCTTCCTGCTTAGAATCTGTGCTTGAGTCCAGTCGCCAACCTCAATGCAGAGAGCGACTTGTGCGAGGATGAATTCGGTCTTCTCTCTTCGGTCCATAGATCCGAACGTCTCAACCTGGAGCTCGCAGAGGATATCTGTCGCCGCCTTGAGGTCGCCCTGCTCCTTCTTGATATCGGACAGAGTCTTGGTCACACGCGCACGCTCGACTTCGACAAAGATCTTTCCCTCGGTGACCGTCCGCAGTGTCTCGATGACGGTAAGCTTGGTTTCGAGATTCGGGGTAGAGTCGAGGAAGCCCATGACCGCCTGGACCATCTTGGTGATAGCTTGCTTGAGCTGCCCATGCTTCTTCGAGAGAATCAGAACCTGCTCATTCATCAAGCTCCAGTCCCCGGCATTCTTGGTGATGTTGACAATGGCGATGAGTATACGCGATGTCGATGCGAGATCTGAGGACTGCGCTCCGTTAGCACGTCAGCATCTGGGGAAGGGAGGGGTAGCTTGCTCACCTGACGGGTCTGCTTCTCCAAGACGCTCAGCTTCTCGATGGCAGCTGAGATATCGCTCTGTACAAATATCAGTATTCATTGCATAGCCACGTCAATTCCGGGCTGCAATCCGCACCTTTGCGAGCTTCTCTGCCTCCGGGATCTGCTTGTCCGTCTCCTTCGAGAAGTCCTTCTCGGGCTTCAAGGCTGCCTCCGACATGCTGGGCGATAGTTCGGGGGTTCTGTTTGTGTTGAAGGTAGCGACGCGAGTTCAGATCGGAATCGTGGCTGCGGTGGATTGGCAGTTGAAAAGGCTGTCGGTTGGGAAGGTGAGGCTGATTTGGTTGTTTGTTAGAATCGAAGGCTCCCGCAGCTACGCAACATGCTCGTGCCTACCTGACCTCACCCTGGCCGCAGTGCTCAGGAACCCGGATTAGGTAAGGCGGGGCAGAGCTGGCACGGAGGGACGTACCTTTTCCCGGCCCTGCCTTCCCGCTTCCATCGATGGTCTGTGCATGGTAGCTTCCAGTTACTGTCGGTCCAGTTGCTATCGGTATTCTTTCCTCTAACTAATTTGGCTCTTGTTGATGGATGGCAGACGGATCATATTCTTGCCGGCGAGTACGCGACGTTCCAGAATCAACATCAAATATCGAAAGAATCAATGAGTCTCCTCTCCATAGACTTCATAGGATATGAGGAGGAATCGTATGTTCAGATTACCTCACTGGGAAGCTGAACTGAAGTTACTGCTTGATTGCCAATTGACGCAACCTTGTTTTGCTTGTGTCTACCGTTAAGCATATTCCATCAACGTATTTCGCATGCCCTTAGAATTTTACACAGCTTGTCATTTCGACCTGCTACATTTTTTCAACAAAAATAATCCTATTAGCGTCAACCTCCCATTCTCGAATGCTTGAATGGATTCGACCTGCGATTTCTTCAATAAAGCCCTCGCAGCCTGGCATCGCGATTATGATGACATGGTCACTCCCATGACCCCGAAGCCTCTTCTATTTGTGTCTGTACGGGACAGTTGCAGCGTAGGCGCACGCCTGGCTCGGAGTACTTCGGATAGCAGATGCGCGGGATCCACAGGATAAGCTCTTGCTCGCAGCTCAACAGTTTATGTGGCCTAGTTTCCATGGTCGGGAACAGATTATGTAGTATTTGAAAAACATTATATACTAAGAAGAGCTTATGCTATCGGCGGACAAAGCAATATTTAGGGGTTGACAGGTGGGGGAGTGCTATCAATGACAATCGTCGTAGGGTTGACCTGGTTGCAGAGCAAGTCTCCAAGGCCACCGGCATGGCAGTATGTGAAAACATCGCCCTCGCCCCAGTAGCCGAAACTATTTGCCCTCGTCAGCTCGTCATCATTCTCAGGTTTCATGATTAAAAGTAACTTACGCAAGGCCAAGCTCGTGGTAGATGCGCAGGGCAAACTCAGTCTCCTTGCCCGGACGGATTGTGAAGCGGTACTTGGACTCGCCGCAGGTAATCACATCGGAAGGAACACCGGTCGCACCCTGGCATGCCAGATCCGTGGCGTTGTTGCCAGAGAGAAGGAAGCTGACGTTGGTGACTGTTCCATTTTGCTGCTTACGGACAGAGAGGTCGGCGATGTCAATGTTCTCGTACGGGCGAGGCTCTTCCGTCTCTTGGGGTGCTGGGGCAGCGAGGGCAGCAACGCCGAAGAGGCCAGTGACGGTAGCGAGAGTGAATTTCATCTTTGCAATTCAAGGTCGGTCTTTGATCGTTTCTGGTGATGTTGGCAATCGTCGAGATTCTGTTGCACAACTAGTAAGGGTGGGTATGAAAGTAAAAAGTCCAGCTTGGAAGAGGCTGCGCTGTGGTCGGTTATATACTTGCGATGGGCTCCAGATACCGGTCCATAAGATCATCATCGCCAAGTCGGTTTGGTCGGGCAAGCGAGGTTGGTGATTTCGACGTCACCGTCGCTTGGGAGGTAACCATTGTGTGGGGAATGCCTGTCCGGCAAATCCCAAAATGACTGTGTTCTCGTAAACGAAACTATGACAGTGTTGGAAGCGGGTAAACACGAAAGACTAGCAATTCTGTCTCACTCTCAACTGCTCCCCTCTTGAAAGGTTCTGTCTCATGGGTAATGCCAGAAATAGCACATGAGATGAACTGTTCAATTCTCCACATCGATCACGAACTCTAATTTGACCGGGGCACTAAGACCACAACTTCTGTAAAGCTTTTATCTAGTGAAGGCCGGGATTCTGGCATTTGGCTGGCACGGCTGGTAATACCTACAAGGCAGGTGTTGCTTTCCACTGGAAATAGTGACGCTTACAGGGAGGCAATAAGTCCAGGGGAGTGAGAAAGCGCTGGAAGTGAGAGCCCGGAATGCACAAAAGCTAAACCCCAGCAGAGACAGCAACGTCGTTTTGCTGCGTTGGTAGTCACATCGGGCAGTAAAAATGTGGACAAAATGACCGCCGATCTTCTCGTATTACCGCCAAGATCAATGTGGTTTCTTTGATGCGGTCACGGCCGCAACAGGCGACTCCCCATTAAAAATTACCCGAAAGTTCCAGCTCTGGTGCTTGGTTCTCTTATGCCAGCTGCAAAATCCATAAGTCCGGCTGACGTATCCTCTCAGAACGAATAGTAAATGTTGAGCTCTGAGAAAAAATAATGTTCTCAACCTGTGCTTTGCAATGGCATCTGGTACACAAGACTATCGTTGCAAGATCTTGCACAACGCTAGTGTCACCGGGGCTTGCATCTGGGCTTCCTCTTGCCGCCAAATATGGGCCGATACTCAAACAACTACCGTCTGCATAAATACACGCTCAACTCCACCAAGATGAATTTGCATGAAGTCCTATTTTATTATTCATATTAACATATCTTGAGTTTCTCTTCTTCCGATTCAGCGAGTCAACTCAATGGGAGGGTTCGATATTTCCCACGCTGCATTGTCCGAACTTCGGTAAGCGTCCGAAATTCTTGGGATCTATGGAAGTGTCAGACCTCGAGCTTCTTCGCCACTTCTGTAATTTCACTGCATCCGCATTGTCGAATGACCTGTACTCCTTCAACGGGACTTCTGTCGTATGATAGTCGTAAAGTAGGACTTAAACACGAGTGTTGATGCTAAGCGTCTTAGTCTTGTTAGCTTCACATTTTGCAAGTCTTTACCCGCAAAGGAAAAGGCCACATGTTGCAACCTTCGGCTGAGTGATGGAATTTAATGAAGAAAAAGAATAATTTAGGCCACTAGATCTGCTCAAACACTCAACCTTGGCAACTTACACCGGTCCTAGCCCATAAGTTTTCAGAATTACACTGGCTAGATGATTAGATGATGCGTCGGCTATAGGAGAAGATTTCAACTTCCACCGAATATTACTACACTTTAAAGACGTGTAACAAGCGCCGAGGTCGTTCACGAATCTACGACATGATGATACGGAAACCAGCACACATTAGGCGTTGATAGACGAGAACCTGGAAAATGGAGATCTGTTCTTAAGGAATCAACGATAGCTTCATAGAATTCTTGTCATTACAGTTTTACCTGAGATGATAAACTGTGCATATGTAGTGGCCGGAGATCTGGCATGTTGCTGGATTATCACGTCCTTATGGTAACATCTCCAAGACTCCATCAAGTTAACTTAACAGTGACGACGTCCTTAGAAGGAACAGCGACGGATACCCCTGAGCCCGAGATGCTGGCCGTCGTGGAAGCGGGCTTGTGGCTGTTGTCAGTGACCCATGCGCTTGCAGCCTTGGGAGTGAACCCCTTGAGTGAGACGTTGGCAGCCTTAGCAGCGCTGCCATTGTTTGTGGAGATGATCACAATAGACCCATCTTTGTTTTTGACTGCTGTGGTCAAGACGTCGGATGCCACCATGCCCGACGTTTGTAATATCTGCGCGCCGGGCCGGATGTGCCGCGACCACATGGCGAATGCCCAGAAGTTAGCCGACGGCGTCGCGGTCTTACCATCCTGCGTATCGACGAGGTGGGAATCGTACTGCAGCTGCTTGAGTTCAAAGCCCTCCCAGTAAAGATAGGCAGGAGATTGGCATTTATGATGCCAACGGCAATCTTGTTGGCCCAGGTCATGCCCTCTGTGGCGCCTCCATTCTTGAACCAGGCCAGGTCAAAGGCTGTCGTGATGCCAGATTCGGTGACCCAAGAAGACAGCTCAGTGTTGAGAGCGGTGTTGGCGTCGCCTGAGTAGGTGAGTGAGGTGATTAGACCCAAGTAGGATTCCATACCAGCGGCAACGAGAGCGTTGGTGTATTTGACGGTTGAAGCCCAGCCGAAAGCATCACAGCAAGTGACTGCGGTCTTGAGACCGGCAGATTGAACGGCTTTGGACAGAGTGGGGATGAAAGAGGTGGACTCCTGGGCATTGAAGCTTATTTGCACCTGAGAGTATCCAGGGCTGGGTAGTGTGGTAGTCAGTCCATGTCCCTAGCTTTAAGGGGGGTTCTGATGCTTACGAGAAGTCGGGCTCGTTAAGGAAGCCTAGGTGGGTAATGTTGAGCCCGGCTTGCTGGTAGTACTTGACATACTGCACGAGGAAGCCGGCATAGGCTTGTCGCCAATCGCCAGAGGAGCAGGTATGGCCGGTTGTGCCGCATAAGTATCTAGAGCGTGTTAGAGAGTAGCCACTCAAGCGACTACTTGCGTTCCCGTCGCTTCATTACCACTCGTCTTCATGAATCCAGGAGCACTCCAAGCGTCAGTGTAGATTTTATTCACCCCATAGCTGACGGCCTGCTTTGTGAACCATACCTGACCGCTGTCGTCGTTGTCCCAGGTATAAGTCGGCTTACCTGCAGGCGATCCAGGGCTCGTGGGAAGAATGCTGTCTCCTTTGCCGCCGGAACCAATGCGATTGCGGATGATGCTGAACCCGGCACCTTTGATAGGGCTGAAAAGTAGATCGAGAGCCCCCTCCTGAAGGGCCGTGGGTGCGTTCTGGAACTCCTTGGCATGCCCAAAAGCTTAAGAGAAGCCAAATCCCTCGATCTTTTGCAACTTGGAGGTGGTGTCGACGGTAACCTGCCAAAGTGCCAAAGCGCCTAGGCCGACAACACCAAGCAAAGTTGTGAAAGGTGACATCTAATCAGCAAATCATGAACAAAGAAAGAATGTGATGTTCGATATCGAAAGGAATGTGGGAGTGGGCCGAATCCGCGTGCCAAGAAAAACGACAATTCCGGGAGCTTTGCGGTTCTCATATACATGGGGCATTCAAGAAACTACCGAACAACGCGGGAATCTCGCATCCCCTTTGGCAAGATAGTAATCAGTCCGAAAGCCATTCTGATTGCTCGTTTCTAGGACTTACGGATTTTGGTGCATGCTAGCCCTCCGGACCCAGAATTGAGGAGTCTTGACAATATATTCGAAATGATGCTGTGCTCATGTCATTGTTACCAAGCTACCGTGGCGCTCATTGGAGCAGGGAGAGAAAACAAATCGCTCCCATAGAAACATTGGTGATCTAGTCTCGGGAACGTCCGAACTGCTCGCATAGCAGCGAAGCTGGGGCTTCCTAGTCCCTCTTCGGTAAGTGAAATAGAGTGAACATGAAACTCAGGGGCCAGGCGAATATGTGTGATTCAACTACAAATTACGGCAGGGGCTTTTTTGGCCGTGATTGAGCCTTAAATCTTGTTTGAAAATCTGGGCCAGTCGTTATGAGGAAGTATAGAGGTCTAAGCTCGTAACGACTGTACTGCAGTAGATACAGCATCGTTGTCTGGAGATGGCCATAGCTCTGATTGAAGGACTCCGCGGCATCACCAAATACCCAATTTGTTTGAAACATCGGGCCTCAAGACTGCGATGTTGTAGTGCGAAGTGTCCCTTATTAGTTCGCAAGTCAGTGGATCTAGATACGACAATTCCTGATATAAAATACAAAAAAGGTTGGTTCTTCCGTCATTGTCCATTCCGTTCAACCCATATGCCTCATTCGTTCTTGTTTCTACTTCTTTTCACTCTTTTGGTCTATCCATTCCATACAACGCAACATCTTTTGTCACAATGAAGTTCACTCCTGTTGTCTTGGCCGTTGCCCAGGTGGCATCCGCTCATTACTTCTTCGACACCGTGGTTCAAGACGGTACCGCCGGAAAGTCTTTCCAGTACATCCGAGACTTCACCCGTGCCACCAAGTATAATCCGATCAAGTTCTCGAACAACCCCGCCGCCGATATTCGCGATGGTTCCTACATCGACGGCCCGGACAGCAGATGCAACCAGGGAGCTTACACCAACGCCGCCAAGACGGAGGTCCTCGACGTCACTGCGGGAAGCGACGTTACGGTTAAGCTTGGCGTAGGCGCCACCATGCAGCACCCTGGTTAGAAGACTCTGTCGCCGCGTGATTCGCCTCGACGTTGCACGTTGACTAACATCTGCATCCAATTACTATAGGACCTGCTCTGTACTACATGTCGAAAGCCCCCGATGGCAGCGTCAAGGACTACGACGGCTCAGGTGACTGGTTCAAGATTGGCGAGACTGGCGTTTGCACCCAGAGTGGCGACTTCACCAAAGACGCTTGGTGTACTTGGGACAAGAACACTCTTACCGCCACCATTCCCAAGGATACGCCTTCAGGGGAGTATCTCCTGCGCTTTGAGCACATCGGTAAGAATTTGATATTGGCTTCAAATTTGCGTACGTCATTTGTATCATGATAAATTAACAAACTCTCCCAGGCGTCCACAAGTCGTTTGACCACGAGCCTGAGCACTTCGTGTCTTGCGTCCAGATCAAGGTCACAGGAGGCGGCAACGGCATCCCTAGCCCTCTGGTCAAATTCCCTGGCGCGTACAAGTACACCGACCCTTACGTGAGCTTCAGTCTTTACAACGGATACAAGGCTTTCCCAATGCCTGGTCCTGCTGTGTGGTCCGGCGGATCGAGCGACGTCAACAACACCTCGGCAGCTGAGGCGGTCCCAAGCAGTCTGCCTTCGACGACCCTGATCACTGCTACTCGTTCTGCTACTCCTAGTGCAAAGGCTACTGCTGGATGCGCTAAGCTCCGTCGCTGATGAGCCTGTATACCGAGCCTATATACCGGCAATGCGCGACATAGGCTCTGCCTCTGGTGTTACTTCCGCCAGATGGTTGACGAAGTATGTCGGGAAAGAGGCTCCTGCTCTGTGTTGAGATGCTACTTGAGGCGTTGCCTAAGTGTTGCTTTCATTCTATTGTACAACTTTGAGAATAAAACTTTACTTGCCATAACCAAAGAACTTTATATTATCACAATCCTAATCAAGCTGCCCAGAGCTGAGAATCAGATGAGCTAACCCCAGGTTTGACTTGTGGGCAAGATTCATATTAGATGAGGAATCAAGATATAAGTAATGGGCGGCCTACGCTATACAATTACTTTTCAATCCTGGACTCAGATTGCCTCGATGCTGCTTGTAGTCTCGTGGGAGTGAGATCCCAGTCCAAGCCACGGATGGTTGACCAAGCGGTCAACGATTCATGTATGTTGGAAAAGGGGTGCCGAGGTGGGGGTCACAGACGAGAACGGATGGAATAATGGTGACGACCGTGGAGGTGGGGAAGGCACCTCTAAGGTCTACCGCCAACCTAGGTCTTGGTCATCTTTCATCCTCCTTGAGATCTCACAGTGCAGTTCCATTCTATAGAAAGAAGTATTACCAAGGCACGGTATAGGTGAGTAGTGCGAGGGCCGAGCACATCCAATCATGGCTATGGCTCTTAAGCTAACCGTACTGATCCTTGAAAGCTCGAGGGAAATGGAGAGCTCACCATCCCCAGGACGGTAAAAGAGAGTTACCCCATGATCCCCAACGTATGACCCCCACATAGTCCCGCAAACATCCCTGGCCCCAGGTGTCCAAGAAATCCCATATTCCTTCTGTCCTAACGCCGGATCTGATGCCGGGGAGCTGCAAGGTGGGGGCGGTCCGACGAGAAAGTCGGCTGATATTTGGGGGGTTCAGGGATGACCAAGCAGCAAGGAACAAAGGCATCGTTTGAATGCTGCCATGCTAGGCCCTACCCCATGGGGTCGTTTCCCCGCGTTTGGATTGTTCTCCACGTTTGCCTGGGGATAGGGGGAAAATGAAGGGAAGAAGATGATTGTGGGACGAGGAGAAGGAATGGGAGGTTGTTCAAAGGTTGACGGGTCCGGGGAAAAGGAGGTTAAGTTCAGGGCCTTCCCACGTCTTTTGACCGCCGCATGTTTGGCTTCTTATAGGCAGGTCTCCTTGTCTGTCACCTCGCCAACTTCCTCAATCCCAGTTGCTATCCGATACCTGAGCCACGAGAGGAGTAAGCTGTACTCAGTCTTGGACCAATAAACAACCATGGATATGGACAAGACAGAGAGGTCTTCGGACCAGGTCGAGGACGTCAACGCCGATAAGCTAAGCCAGCATGGCGGCAACCTCATCATGCCAGCCAGCTTGGCGGCCTTGAGTCAGGAGGAGTATGAGAGAATTGGCAAGAAGGCGACGTTGAAAATGGACTTGGTGATCATGCCCATCATGGTCATCATGTACATCCGTGAGTGCAACCCGCGTACTCCAATCATCCACTCCCAGAGGACACGACTAACATATCTGATAATTAAAGTTAACTACCTCGACCGCCAGAACATTGCCAGCGCAAAGCTCGCCGACATCACCACAGACCTGAACCTGAGCCAAGTCGAGTACCAGACAACCGTCAGCATTCTATTTGTTGGCTATAGTGAGAACTTCCAATCCGTTCAGTCGCAGAAACACTTTTCTCAAACCCTGGCTAACGCGGAAGCTCTGCAGTCCTCATGCAAGTTCCCTCGAACATGATTGTCGGCAAGATCAAGTGGCCCGGGGCGTACATCTGCTGTGGCATGGCCGCATGGGGTGTTATTTCTTCCCTCATGGCCGTGGTGCATAACTACGAAGGCCTACTGATGGCGCGCTTCTTCCTTGGCTTCGTTGAGGCCATCTTCTTTCCTGGCGCACTATACTTCCTCTCCCTGTTCTAGTAAGCGATCCCAATCATGTGCTCTTGGTCCCAAGCGATGTTGATCTGTGTCTCTCTAGTAACCGAAAGCAATTTGCCTTGCGGACTGCCATCCTCTATTCTGGTTCCCAGCTGGGCAATGCATTCGGCGGTCTCTTCGCCATCGCCATCCTGAACCTAGATGGTGCACACGGACTTGCAGGTTGGCGTTGGGTATGTGCCTGTTCTCTCTTCTTTATCTGAAGCCTTCTCGGTCTAATCATGTAAACCACAGCTCTTCCTCGTAGAGGGCGTCATCACCGTCGGCTTGGCCATTCCGTTCGCATGCATCCTGCCCAATTCCAACAAGAAGATTCCCACTCTGACCCAACTGGAGTGCGAATGGGTGCAGTACAACTTCGCCGCAGATCAGGGCCAGGAAGATAATTCCAGCGAAGTCACCGCTATGAAGGGTTTCATGATGGCCGTCACGGACCCAAAGACCTGGATGCTCATGGGAGTCCTTTACTCTGTAAGTCGCACACCTCACCTATCCGCCCGCTCCAAGCACCTTTCCGAAGAGGTTAGAGAAGTCTCTGGCACACCATGAACAACTTTGCTAACTCACCCGGACCATCAGACCTACATCGTCGGCGCCGTCGCAAACTTCTTCCCCTCCGTCGTCGGCGGCCTCGGCTTCTCCCGCACAATGACCTACGCCCTCACCGCGCCCCCCTTCCTCCTCTGCGTCATCACCATGCTCCTAAACGGCTTCCACTCAGACCGCAAACAAGAACGTTTCCTTCATATCGTCATCCCCCTATGCATCACCCTCGTCGCCAACATCATCGCCGTCTCAACAACCAACACGGCAGCACGCTACGTTGCCATGATGCTTCTCCCCGGTTCTTTCTACGCTGCCGCGGTGGTCGTGCTCTCTTGGATCACTGGTAGTCTAGCCCAACCTTCGGTCAAGCGTGCGAGTGCCATTGCCCTTATCAACGCCATGTGTAACACGCCGAATATCTGGGGTAGTTATCTGTATTATGGTGCGCCGAGATACGTTACGGCGTTTATTGTGAATATTGCGGCGACAGGTTTGGCGATTGGATTCGCCACGGTGACGAGGATTTGGTTGAGAAGGTTGAATGCCAAGTTGGACCGGGGCGAGGACACGGGGAAGCATGGACCGACGCAGGCGCAGGTCGCTGGAGGGTTCAGATATCTCATTTGAAGCTTCTACTGGGGAATGCCCTTATGTTCAGCTAATAGTCTTGAGGAAGGATTTATTCGCTATGTTTAATGGTGTTGACACTGCCTTAAGCTTCTACAAGCTTTTGAAATTAAATTAAGTTCAAGACAATTGGCCATGAACTCCGTGCTCGTGGACTTATCCCTTCTGACAACAACTGAGCTAGCTGTTACATCGCGCCTCAGTATGGAGAATGATTGCCTAGCAAGCTGAGTGGTCACTTCTTATCTTTGACGTAGCAGAATTTCCCGCGATGCGCTTTTCTACCACGGAACACAAGCAATGAGATCATTATTAAAGTGAATTAGATAGAATCTATGGTGAGAAGGCTCCTTGTTACGGAGAAACATAGTACTTGTCGGCGATCTCAGTTAACACATAGCCCTTGAACTAGTCTACAACTTCACCCTCCCTGTAACTTCCTTCTCAGCACGTTCGCTATTAACCATCTCAGGAACAATTTCTTCCACACTCGTGGCACCCGCGAGCGCCATATTAGTCTGTAGCTCATGTCTTAGGATCTGCACCAACCGCCTGACACCAGCCTCGCCATAGCCAGCCGTCATCGAGTACAAGAACGGCCGACCAATGCCAACAGCTGTGGCACCAAGAGCAATAGCCTTTAGGACATCCGTACCGCGTCTGATGCCACCGTCGACAAATACCTGGAATTTGGCTCTTGTCTCAGGAAAGAGGAGGTGCGGCGCGTATCTACGAATTTCAAGGAGCGTCAGCATGGGAGCCTGCGCCGTATCCTGCGACCTTCCTCCGTGGTTCGATAGCACGATGCCATCCACGCCGTGCTCGTGAGCGATGACGGCGTCTTCAACAGACTGAATCCCCTTGATGACAATCGGCAACGAGGTCGTCTGCCTTATCCATGTCAAATCGGCCCACGTCAACCCCGCATTCAGTAACCCAGAAGCCGTTGTCTTCGCCAGGCCGCTGGGTTCTGAAAGGGGTTCATCGCCAACAGTCAGCCTTTCATCGCGCTCACGTTTGCCGATGACTGGCGAATCGACCGTCACAAAGATCGCTTTGGCACCCAACCTCTCTGCCTTCCGAATCGTAGCTTGTGCCTTATCCCGGTTCCGATCAACGTACAGCTGAAAAAACAATGACTGTGCTTCGTTTACCCTGGCGCCGAAGATGGACTCGACCGACGCGCTCGGCTTGGTGGGCATACAGTACATGATCCCTTCCTTGCCCGCAGCCCTCGAGAGAATCGTCTCGGCTTCGGAGTGGGCGTACTTGGCCTGTCCAGTAGGCGAAATGTAGAAAGGTAGTGAAGTATGGAGGCTGAGGATATTGGTGGACGTGGAGATGGAGTCGACGTTTCGGAGAATGCGCGGGCGGAGGGCGAGCTTGCGGAATATGCGGCGCGAGTCGTCAAGGCTCTGTTCGTCTTCTGCGCCTGAGTAGTAGTACGCCCAGCCCATGGGCGAGAGGTACTTCTCCGCGACCTTTTCAAAATCGTCGGCGTTGATGATGGCTCCTAAATGTGGGAAAGCAGGCTTTTGCTTTTCGGGAGCGTTCGACGAGGCATCTTGCGGCTCTGGTAGTGTTGCTGGGTCTACGGGACCCAGGCAGCGATCTGGTGATAGGGTCTCTGTGATGAGGTCTGGGTTGTGGATGGAGTCGTAGTCTTCTGTCGCGTCTCGGCCAGCGCATTTGATGATGAGTTTTGCGCCGCCTGGGTGCTCATCAAGGAAGTCTAGTCTAGTGTGAGCGGGCAATGTGAAGCTGGGTACCGGAGCATGTGCGTACCTGTGACGTCCCATACTTGGCCATGCACAACGACCCAGCACGAGTCTTTGGTGTTGTTCTTCGCAACCTCCGTACCGCTAACAACCATGGTGATGATGACTGATGATTATCAGTGATTTTGAGCGAGAATAAGGGAGCAAGATGCACGAGAGATTGGCATTGATAGCTTGGGCAGATCCAACGTTTTCCCCATCCCCAGAGGCACCTTGGAAAGTTGAGATAGACCCATCGTACAGACCAAGCTTGGTCCTTTCACCCCGCGAAAGGCTCACGATGTCAAACATCTCCACTGACGGCACATTGACCCCACGAATCTACGCCAACCAGACCTAAGGTGGGGGTCATGTTGGCGTTGGTCCACGACCCCATGACGCCGCTTCTGGACCGATTCGAGACAAAGCTGCTCCCCCACTCAAGCCATAGCTTGCTTTTCGCAGTGGAATCCCCGCGAAAAAGTGGTGCGGCTCCGCCATGTTACGAAATCCAATTCGCTAGAAGGTGACGATGTTTGCGGCGTCGAGGATGTTAGTCGTCGGCTGTTACCAGGTTTGGGCGGAGAAGTGTCCGGCGACGACGTTGGAGCTGGGGGTGAGGCTCGGGAGTTGTCCGGGGCCCCGGAATGGGGTCCCTGCTAGTAGCTGACTCGCTTCGTGCGGGGGACCAGCAGTGCATGGCGGGAATGATGATCGGAAATACGCGTTGGATTCAATGTTGGTTGTATGGATAGTTGTACGGAATGAGGGTGCAGTGTTAGCAGGAAGCTGGTACAGACTCCATGGGTGTGTGCGCCGGTGCAGTGCATGTTGGTTCCTCAGCTCCCTAGCCGTTCTGGGGCTAGTTCTCCTAGAGACTTAGCACCAAATGCCGTGAACCATAGACGTCATAAACTTCCCGTTCCAATGGCGTTGGATTGCGCGTTGATGTGTGACATTGTTGGTCAACAAAGAAGAATTCTACCGTAACTAATCCTCTCCTTTCTCTAGGGTCAATAGTTTCTAGTGTGCCTTACTTTGCGAACACGGAGCATTTGCTCTGGTTCAGCCGAGCCCCATACTTGTGAACGGGTGGCCCGAGCCTTTGGGAGCTTAATACCACCCAATCTAATCAGTCCGCGACGCGTCTGTCTCATTTAATATGAAATTTACGCGATCATGCCAGAGCCTCTCCGCCTCATGACGCGGGATCTTTCTGACCGTCGCGCAAAAAAGGGCTAACTGAAATGGCCTTCAAACAAACCACACGTTCGTAAAACTCGACTACAAGTCCCATCATACAAAAAACATGGCTAAGATTCCAATGACTAGTCCATTTCGGGCCCAAACGCGCGCCGGGCGGTTCCCTCTCCCCACCATCACCCAAAAGACAGCGATTCCAACCCGAACCCGACCACAATGACTTGACGAGACACGGCGACACTGACGATGACCATCACGAAGCTAGCTCCGGCTCTCAAGCAGAGAAAGATGCTGAGCCTTCCAATAACCCCCCACAAACGTCAGTAGCAGACAAAGTGAACGACATGATGAGAAAGTACACGTCGGGCATACCAAAAGAACTTTCCGGCGCCAAAAAGTACTACGTGGTATGGAATGGAACGGAAACCGGTATATTCGAAAGTTGGGGCAAATGTCAGCCGTTGGTTGAAAGATATCCAGGGGCAGGGCGTAAGTTACACCTCGAACATTGCAAAAACCAGTTCCCCGGGCTGACTGCTTGAACGCAGACAAGAAAACAACAACGTACAAAGACGCTGTGAGACACCATTCTGCTTTGCGATACAAAGAGTATGTCTGATGGGTTTTGTCATAGGTGGATCTCCTGCGTAACAAGTTGACAGAAAAGCTCGAGGCAGAAGAGCCAAGGTCTGTACCTCAACCGCAACCTTGTACTGCATCGCCAAACATATATGAGAGCACACCTCGGTATACTCCTCCCACGCCTAACAGCCGTATACCTGGCAGTGCTGCGCCTAGCGATGTTGCAGCCATAGCTGCTGATGCGGGCGAGCCCCAAGCCCAGAGCTTCGACCCAGCACCAGACCCTTGCGAGCCTCCTCTTTGCCAGGAACAACAAGCCGCCATGGATCTTGCCATGGCTGGACATAATCTTTTCATCACTGGGTGCGTAAGCAAGGTGGCCGAATGATGGTCCAACGCGTGGCGTCAATAACCCAATAATCATCTACTAACTTCATACGCACGTAGATCAGGCGGCTGCGGCAAGTCTGTCCTCGTAAAGGCCTTGCACAAGATGTTCAAAGCGAAGGAACGAAAAGTCCACCTAATCGCACCTACCGGCATCGCTTCTGTCAACATCGGTGGTAGAACGATGTGGAATTACGCGGGCTGGACACCGGATGATTTCTCAGAGCCATTCGGTATACTAGTGGGAAAGTCGCGACACAAGAAAAACAAGAATCGAATAGTTGGTACCCATGTTCTTATCATCGACGAAATCAGCATGGTCGAGAATCAGTTCTTTCAACGACTTGGTCAGGTCATGGGACGAATTCGACGCAAAGCAGCCCCGAATAACCCCCAGAGTCAGATGGAGGTTCGGGGCGCTTTTGGCGGCGTCCAGGTCATCGCTGTTGGGGATTTCTGTCAGCTGCCTCCGGTAGAGCCATTCCAGCATTGTCTTGAATGTGGCTCGGAAATGCAACAGGAAAAGGTCGGGAACTCAGTCCGTTCATATTTCTGCCCTCAAGGAGTCAGCGATGAAGGGCCGCAGCAGAATACTCATGGGTATTTCATGGAGCACGACAAATGGGCCTTCAAGTCTTCTGAGTGGGTGAGGTGCAACTTCAAGTACGTCCACCTGAAGAAGGTTCATCGACAAACAGACGAGGACTTTGTCAGGATTCTTCAGACATGCCGGTTAGGCGAAGTTCTCAGCCAGAGAGATATCGACCTACTGCTAAATCATCCTGCCCAGGTTGAGAACGCAACTCGTTTGTTCAGTCATAGACTGCAAGCTCAAGAGCATAACGAATCTCAGCTCAAACAGCTCCTTAGCCCGTCCCGGAAATATTGGTGTCTCGATTATGCCAATACAAATAATAGCACAGATGAAGAACTTGATCGTCTGATCGATTACTACACGGCAAGTGCTGGCTATCTCATCCGTCGAGCTGTAACTAGGCGCGACTCTAAAATCTTCAAAGTAAGGGTTATTAACAAAGTACATTATCCAGATGCGAGATTCGGACCCTGAAGCACCTCCTTCGCGGCAACCGTTGTCCCGCTTGGGCGACCATCGCTATGCCCAATTTCTAGAGTTGAAGCTCAATATGCCCGTCATATTGCTTGCAAACGTAAGATCCTCCGCAAGCAATTGTTGCATATAAACGTTTGTCGCTAGATTCACTAACCTCGTAACTTGTATGCACCAGATTGATCTAGACAGCGGCCTGTGTAACGGCAGTCAGGGCAAAATCTGCGGCTTTGTCTCACGCTCCAAGTTTGAACGTCCCACAGAACCTAAGCGAAAAAACTACAAGAAGGATTTGTCAGCTTTCGATGCTGCTATGGAACGTTTTCGTCTGACGGAAATGTTCTTAACGGACAAAGGTGCGCCTGAATTATGTGAGTAGAAATCCCGCTCAGCTGCTGGGACAATCTCTTCATTTTTTCCTCATATCGGCTGACTCAATGAAGATCCCGAGGTCGAATTCAACAACGGCCAACGCCGCGTCATTGGCCCGGATTGCGCAGTAAACGAACTCGGCACCAAACACCCGCACATGCTCGTATCTCGGACACAGCTACCTCTCGCTCCAGGCTGGGCCATGACCATCCATAAGAGCCAGAGTCTGTCTCTTGACCGCTTAATCATTGACCTGGGCTCTGTCTTTGAAAAGGGCCAAGCATACGTAGCGCTCAGCCGTGCCCGATCTCTCCAAGGTCTGCAAATAGAAGGCACCGATGAATACATGCTTCAGTCGGGCTTGGAACTGGATTCCGAAGTGAGGAGGTTTCTGGAAGAGCTTGAGAGGAGCGCTGAGGGAAATTGAGCTCAGGTCAGGGATCCAAGCCAAGACTCTACACAGAATTGATCGATCCTGGGCTTATGCTCGAAGTGCGGCTGGAAGAAGGGGAAAGGGCATTTATGGCATTGGTTGGAGTTGGCTCAACTGCTAGCTAAAGTAGTAGGCAGCCCCTGATGGTATACCTACTATACTGTAGGGAAAGTCACAGGATACGGATGTGCGCCCGAAGTACTGCAGTATGATTACATCTTCATTCCCACTGAAACGCTATGGAATAGCCCGCGAAGTCGTCCAACCTTGGCCTAGGAGATTAAGAGGAGTATCATCCTGGTGTCACTGCCCTGCCTGCCTTGTCGTTCGAAATTCGATAAACGGTACCTGCGGCAGTGGATTGTTCCTATGCAGACTGATGTTCTATCTGTCCAACCCGTGTCCGCTCCTAGATCTTTGCAGAAAATTCCAGGCCTCCCGTCTTCAACTTCTGTTCGAATTCGTCCTGCTTGTCAAGCATGTGCGTTCCAGCTGCCAGGCCCTTCATACCTTCAACGTCGTACAGGTTTTCCAAGGGCACATCCCGAACACACACCTTATGGTCCTCCTTCGTTCCTCCGCAGAACACCTCTATAACGTTCCCGTCGCCGTATTTCGAGTCACGGATGGCTGATATGGCAACGTTGACCACTTCGTCAACGCTTAGCATCAAGTCGTCGGCATGTACACGCTCTCGGCTGTAGGAGGCGTGGAAGATTGGGGTCTGCAGCCGGCTATCAGCACTCTTTGTATGTGAACATTACGGATTTGAGGCAGGTTGAAACTTACATCGACTACTCCCGGGCAGATTGCGGCGTTTCTAATGCCGGCAATCTTGTTCAAAGAGCCAAGAGACTTGCACATGCTGACAACGGCAGCCTTGCTCGAGTAGTAGAACGGTGTAAGGAGACCATGGACGTAGCCCGCCATACTGGCGACCCAGAGGATGTTGCCTGCAAGATGCCGATTTTCGGGACGGAGCCAGTATTCGACGGCGATCTGGGCAAGTCTGATAGGGGCAATGGTATTGATGGCGTAAGCCTGATAAATGCCGACTTTAGCATCGGCTTGGTCTCGGGACAGAGGCGAGATCCCAGGCGGGTTCCAAAAGTCGCTGGATGGGGGATCATAGATTCCGGCTCCGTTGATGAGCAAATTGACTCGCGTATATGTCTCGAGTGCGGCGTCCCACAGTTTGTTGATCTGAGACCAGTCGGTGAGGTCTGTCTGATGGAAGATAGCCGACGCAGTGCCAGGCTTGATTGGGGGATGGGGGTATTTCTTGAGTGTGTATTCGGCCTCGGGACGTAGTCTCAAATCCGCCATGACGACTGAACAACCCGACTCTAGAAGGGCTCTGGTCAGCGCATGGTTGATACCTGAACTCTGTTAGTATTGGTAACTTCGAAAAGGGGGTAAGGATGCCAACCTGATCCAGCACCGGTCACGAGCGCGACTTTGCCATTCACTTCCCACGCGGTCATTTTTGGTATATTCTACTGCTGTAAGTCAAGGTGCTTTTCGAGAAGCGATGCTCAAATCGTCAGAAAGAAAGGAGAGAGGAGAAAGAGGAGATGAAAGCCATACTTCTGGGTTTGTGCACTCGTGATCTGGTTTAAGCGTCACGTCACTCTGTTTCACCCGGACTGCGACCCGTCCGTTTACCGAGTTGATGCCGATGCATGTCTATCCAATTCAGTCGACCGCTCTGAGATGCGTTCACTTGGCGGGGTTGGGCCGAAAAGTTGGTCCGACATTGGTCCGGTGTGTGCCAAGTGAGAGGCACAGCGGTTGGAGTCGGCTTCTTGAGCACATCAACAGTTGAAAGGGGCAACATCAGCGCATTATCACCATCTATGATCAGTTGGTGTCCTTTTATGCATTATCTACACTCAGTGAGTCGTCTTCGATTACTTACGAGAAGTACCTTACATTTAGTGTGACCTATTGTGGTGGTCAAGAGTCCATGCTTGATGTAGCCACAAGGGTATCTATATCCGAAGGACAGTCATGGTGCAAGTGCCGACTTCTACAGGTTTCAGAGAGATTGCGAGACATGCTTGTTCTGAAGGACAAAGACTATTTCTGGTTCTCTCCAAGCGCATGACAGGACTCTAGGGCGACAGAATCCGCTGAACTACATCCTTCGTGACGGCATGGAAGTCCTCCTTGCTCAGATCAAAACGACCGAGATCCTCAGTCTTGCTGTTGAAATCACCTCCCTCGCCCTCTTTGTAATGTAGTGGGAAGAACTTCGCAAGCACCACGGCATGTGCGTCATCCCCACTCATCGCATTGGCTCTCTCAAGAACATCATCCACGGCCTCCTCGCGAATGTCCCAATCGGTCTCAGATGTTCCAGTCGCCAGCATAATGCTACTCAGTACCTCTCTCTGAGTGACGTGGAAGGAAGTAGTGTAGAAGCATTTGTTGCGATAGCGTGCAAGTTCCACATCTGGCATAGCCACAACCTCGGCAGTAACCGCTCCAGCTCGGGCCAGCGTGGTGTAATTCATCTTTGTACGCCCCCCGTTCCAAAGCGTAACCTTGAGTGTTTTGGCGTCGATACCAAAGACATCGCCCATAGGCAGGCAGAAATCGTACCAAGGGTTGGTAATGACACCGATCCAAGAACCAACTCCTAGCTTTTCGATGAGTTCTCGATATTTGCGTTTATCAGCGATTTCAGGCAGCTCTTCAATGAGCTTTCCTTCTGGGTCACTACCAAACTCAGTCGGAAGGATATACGGGACGTTGGCCTTTGCGGCAGCGCGGATGAAGACGTCGCTGAGGCCCACAGCTGGGATGCCAAGTTGCAAGACCAAGACCTCTTGACCATCCAAGACAGACGTGAGAGCAGCTTCATCATCGAAGGCAACTCTTTTGACGGTGACGCTGTCAGGGAATTCAGAGGTGGATTCGTTCCGGACAATGACGGTGATGTCGTGGATACCATGAGAGAGCAGTGCCGTCAGGGTGTGTTGCCCAAGGTTACCACTGGCGCCAACTAAGGCAATCTTACGATCTTGTCGCACAGGTGACATGGCTGTGAATGGAATATAGATTGAGGAGAATAAAGTAAGTCTAAATATTGACCAAGGGCTGATGATGGTTCAGTTTCAATGTGTTGAGCTAGTAGTATGCATGTGCTGAGCGGAGGACCACTCACTTAAATACTTGTTCGACGTACTTAATTGACAAACCAAAGGAAGTGGAATATCGCGTTATCACCTTTGCAACCTTGTAAGCTAAGCACCGCTCACATATGATTTCCCAAGACGACTACGAAAATTACATGTATTCAGTGTCATTAGACTCAACTCTAGGATTCTCAAAACCGAATGAACCAATCAGAGGGTTCATGAGATAGCTAGTATAGTGACGATGATGATTAGAAATCATAAGCTACTTAGTGCAAAGCTTGATTGGCTCGTTCGGCTTTTGTTCAAATCTTACATGACTTACCGCACCAGGACCCATAGCAAACAAAGGGGCGTTCCGAACTTCCAGTTACATCATCACGTCAGGTGGAATAGACTAGAGCGCAAGTCATCGCACCTGTGTCAACAGAACCAGAGCTCTCATGCCTTAATATTGCCGAAATTGATGAGAAAACCTGTCTTTGGTCGCCTGATGTGATCATCCCATGGCACGAAAAGGTTCCAAGAAGACCAAGACCGGGTGCTTGACTTGCAAGTATGCATAGATCGGAATGCCTCGCAGAGGCCTCAGGCGAATCCTTTTGTACTAATTTTCGTAGGATTCGCAAGATCAAGTGCGACGAAACCAAGCCTTCCTGCCGACGCTGCAATGACACAGGCCGAAAGTGCGACGGCTACTTGGCACAGGCATCGGTCGAGTTCAAGATTCATGCAGCCCTGCGACATCATGGATCAGACTCCGCAAGTGAGCGAAGGTCACTACAATATTTCTATGAATACGCTGCGCCTCGTCTATCTGGCCCTAGGAAGCCTGCTTTTTGGACGTACTTTGTCATGCAGCTCAGCCAATCTGAGCCAATAGTGAAATATTCGCTGTTAGCAATCAGTCACCTATACGAGGCTCGCGAGATGCGGGCAATACCATCCACTAAACCTTTGCTTGCATTACAGTACTATAATGCGGCAATCAAAGGTGTGAAGGCTGTGCAAGATCAGTCTTTAGTCCTGATTGTATGCGTCTTGTTTACATGTATCGAGCTGCTGCAGTCAAATAACGAGACCGCGATTCGGCATTGCAAACACGGCAACCAAATCTTAGAGACTTATGGCAGCGAAAAACCCTGGATACGAGATCACATCGTACCAGTCTTTCGGCGATTGAGCGTCCTTCCGCTGCTCCTTGGAAGGCCTCCTGCGGACTCAGCACTCACACATGTCCTAAGATATGCGGTACCAACGAGATTTGATAACGTGGAGGATGCACACTCGATGATCGACGAAATTTGCCGACGATTAATGATTTTACAACATTGGAAACGGAAAGGAGCTGATTTCGATCAGGTGAAGGAGCGGAACTGCATCGGTTCTCTATTGCAGAAATGCAGAGAATTGATGGATGGCCTCGACATTGACTCAACATCTCAGCCAAATTGTGCTAGCGAAGGTCCGCAAGCACTGATGCGTATGCGCTTCCACACATGTCAAGTTTGCTTCGATATGCTGTTCCCAGTAGATCATGGGGGCAACGATGAAAGACACATACACGGCTTCCGCGAGATGATTGCGTTGGCTTCTGAATTTAATAATATGCGGACCATACGGCTACCACGATTTGTTTTCGAACTTGCATTCTCACCTGTGCTGTTCTTCGTTGTCACAGAGTGCAAGTGCTTAGAAGTGCGGCTTTCAGCTCTCCGTCTGATAAAGGTACTAGGAGCAGAAAGAGAGGGCCTCTTCGAAAGCCAAAACTTGTACGCTCTGGGGCGCCGAAAAGTCCAAACAGAACATGGTGTGATTTTGGATGACTTCGACTACCCTCAAGATTTGGTTTTGAATTCGGATATAGAGTTTTGAGCCGTCAAATAGTAATAAAATGACTGTGAAGAACCCTCTTCATGATGAGCTTGAATGATTAATCATCTACACCTTTCCCCTACAGCTTGAGTCCTTTCCAGTGGCTCCAGCTTTGATACAACGTTCTCTCATCCCGCAATTGTTCTGTCCAATGTTTTTGAACAGTGTCTCACTATAGTAGTAGCACTCGTAGTGACCAAGGTCCGAGTTGTATTTCGTTTGATACCCAGCCTTGGTGCAGACTGTCGAGGTGGCACTGTCATTTGGCGTACCATCTGAGTCGTAACAGTGGCAGTACTTATAGCCAGAGCAAGCTTGAGCGGTAATCGAAATCGAAAGAACGGTCACCAGAGTTGTGAGTCTCATATTCTGGAGATGTTGTCAGCACAGCTAAGGCTTGTTACAGTCATCCAACGTACGGATGGCTTGTCTATGATCGAGTTAGAGGAAGGTGGGTGGGAAATTTCTACCAGCAAGATTGTAGAACATAGCAGGCGAATTGTCGAAACCCGTGGGTCGTCTCTCTTTTAAGTGAGCTAGGTACTGTGAGGATTTGCTATTCGAAACGATTGGTTCATCGGAATTGCCGGCAACTATCAATTTCTCTGGATTGATTTGAGAAACTCCGACCCTGGAGCTAGCGAGACTGCAGGAACAAACAACTCAGAAATCGCAAGTTAATTTACACAAATTTGCGTCGTAGCTGATCTGAGTTGGTTATTCTGGCTCATCCGCGACATGGGAATTTACTGTATCAACCTTGATAAGCTACAGGCTGAACTCGTGTGTAATCAGATATTCTGATGAGATTCCATGACTCTCGCGAATTTACTAGCGGGAGCAGTGAGCTCAGGCTGTATTTGTACCCAACGCATGATGACAGGCATGTCAGCGTGATCTTGTGTGAGTCTATATAATTTCAATTGTGAAAGCTATCTTTAATCAATTGCCCAGAAATACCACGGCATGTCCCAATCTAGGCTGGATTCTCGATTTTTGCCATAAAGTACTATCGAGACAGGAAAGACTTCATAGCGCCGGAAGTCATGAATACTGCTAGGCTAGAAGAAGGGCAATGTTCGAGACTGGTTCTGGCTTCACTGATGGACTGATTTCTCATCACCTGATTTTCAAAGTTTATTTAGAGGACGGAGCGGCGAAACTTAGCCCACCGGTGAGTATTGCAGGTACAGGATGATTACTGATACGAATATGCGTAATCCGTCGCTTTGGGGCTGAGTTGTCGACTATATGAGCATGAACTCATCCAGCTTTCGTTTCCTGTGGAATATCACCAAGGGTTTACAATGCTCCTAGTCGGTAAGAGAAGCATCCATTACCAGCGTCAATACACAGGGAGTGAGCCCTGGTCAACTCTCCTATAATATATATGCATGATTCTTTTACCCTTTTAGGTCGTACAAGCCTTTTGTTATAATCTGTCATGATGGCTATGACGGCAACACGTTTGATGCATTTGCGCGTTCATTCATTCGACTTGATCTTGTCTTGTTTCTCATCTTAAGCTGCATACTGCCAGGACGAGCGCGTAATGACGCATTGCTCAGGGCCGTCACACGTACTTTGAACGTTGTGCATATGACTACATAAATCAACAGTTAGGGGCTTAGGTTGCCAAATCTGGGAAACTTCGACATATTTTGTTCCCAAAATTGGTCACTTTAGTGTCTTCACGTGTCTTTTACACCGTTCTCGACAGTTGCACTTAATTCGGAATTAAGCCTTTTGGATCTTGCTTCAAGGGCATTCCTTCTTCAAATGGCTCATCTCCACGATGCTTCCCTTTTGCGATGAGAATGGTCGCAAGATAGTCTATCTCTCCTGACCAAAGTTCTTTAAGGTAGGTGACCTAGCTGATGCCTCTATGCTCGTCTGTTGATTCCCCCTCGCCTTCGTCACTGCGCCTTGACCTTGTAACTACGAGATGAGAGGATGTATTTAATTCATTTGAGATAGCATAGGTAAGCCTCAATGATATAAATCAATCCAAGTTGTGAATAAAACTTCCCAAAATCTATCGTTCTTTCCTATTTGTATTTGGCATTCGAAGTGGAGGAATGATCACAAGCTAGCAGCATTTCGATTGATTTGTTAATCAAGCGACAAAAGCAACCCGTTTAGCACTTAAATTCAATTACTTATTCCATATAATGGTAAATGGGGATCAAGGATTATAGTGCAAGGAGCTGGTCAAGGCTAAGGTACCCAGTTCTCTTCTAACTCGTCGTCACTCTTCCCCGCTCGCATATTTCCGAGTCAGACCGCATCGCAACCAATGCTGCCAGTCTTGATACGAGCACATAGAGTTTGAATGTTGAGAGAAATCAATTAAAAGTTCTTTTATGATGCACTCTAATATCCACTCGTATTAAACCTGCCAGCCACCTTAGGCTTCTACGGCGATCCCATTGTTATCTCATGGCCTGGAGCACGTAAGTTCAACATGCCCAGTTTAACGTTTTTTCGAACGAGATTAAACACCGACGGACTTTGCATTAATGATACGACTACATGAACCCGAGAGCGACGATTTCGGGGTTATATCAAGCCACGTTGCGCCGTGTGGTAGCTGATTTCTAGACATATCCTGAAATTCCTCCATAGAAATAAGCCGCATCACCAGTCCTACCTCACTTTGCCTTCGAGATATAAGTCTTCACAGAATCACCACCAGCATCAGTAGTCAATACCACGTCAATTCCTATCCCATCTAACACACTCAGTGCATCTCGCAGCCGTAGCCATTCTTTTTGCGCTCGCCAGTGTGGCGATGGCTGGCAACCCTCGATACAAAGTCAGTTGTGATCCAGCCGTACCAGCTGCCTACCAGGCTAGCATGAAGGCATTTGAGAAGAAAAACTGTGGAGAGTCCGAGTATTTTGGGCGTCCAGGCACTTGGCATGAAGAGACACAGTCGTGCGAAGCCCCCGGCCCCGGGGGCACGAATACCCAAAGATACTACCATCCGCTCTTTGCTAGCTCTTCAGGTGGTCCCAACATCAGCCCGCGTTGCCACTGGGTTCCAGCTTAGGTTTCTTGGGGGAATACCCATACCACGTACGCCTGATTATTAGCCTCACTCATTCCTATCACGGTCGATGACTGGCACAGCTTCAAGCTCAGCTTGTCAACACTCAGTCAAGTAGGACAATTAAGCCGCAGTCCGAGAGAAAGCACTGGGATCGGATCAAACATTGATCTGCCGGAGATGCGGCGTGGTCGAAGAACAATCCTAGGCTAGAAACCAATCCAAATCACCTCATGCGTGAATCTTTCTCCGTGTATTACTTGCCTGCGAGATCAAAGAGATCTTGGCCGCCTCCTGGATAGCTTGACAATTCTGTTCCCACTAAAATGTGTCTTGACAGGCTTAGAGTAAATGCGGAACGCGCCTGATGGCGAAGCGCTGGGTTTATTTCCAATAATCTCTTTGAGATAATATAGTCGTCCTCGAAAAAGTAGAAATGATGCAAAGCGAGAGGTCGATCTCCCCGAGGGCCAATGACAATCGAGCGCCAAACCTCTCAACAGGAACCGAGCGGGAAGGTCTATTCTGGTTGGTGCCTGCCACAGTATTAGCTCCTCCAGCCACAACTCAATCTGGCGCACGCAACATCATCAGAACAACCACCAGTAATCCGAGGTTTACTCATTTGATGATGGGAAGAAACCCATAAATAAAGCATCATGCCTGACACAAACTCGTCGACGCCCTCCCTTGGGTTCGTCGATTTACCGGTGGAAACTCAAACCCACATCCTCGAGGCTCTCGCCTCCTCACACCCCGCATCGATCTACGCAGTGCTTCCAACATGCAAACATCTCTACAAAATCGCTCTACCTCTCTCAGTCCGAACCTATGAGAGCGCCGCCGGCCCAAAGAACACAAGCCAATACGCGCAGAAGCGCAGCCGCAACCTCGACTTCCTGCGTTACATCACCATCACCAAGCCTGAGCTTGCACCACATGTCCGCCGCATTACCATCAAACATGTCTCCACCAGCCTCATCTACCGCACTGCCCCATCGAGCAAGAAACCCTTGGGTCCTGAAAGCGATGAGATTGGCGTGTACACCAACATGATTGATGCATCGGGTCTCTCCGATCACGTTGAAGACTGGGAGGCTGTGCGACACGAGTGGCTTCGAGGCCTCGCCGACGGCTTAGTCGAGCAGCAGATTGGCCTCATGTTTCTCGCATGCCCGAAGATCCAGGTCCTCGAATTGGGAACGCCTCTCGCGCCTCGTCTGCTTCCTCGCTTGATCAAGGCTGCGGCATTGCACGGGGGGAGCATGAAGGCCCCATTACTCCATCACTTGCGAGAGTACTGCGGCGAGCCAGAGATGCCCAAGAGTCTTTTCCACTTCTTCAACATTGGGAAGGAATTCCTGCAACTACCTCAGTTACGGACATTCATGTGCGCGAGTTTATCAAGCAGTGGCCCAAACGGGCACCTCTTCGACGAGAACGCCAATCCGCCCAGGTCTTCAAACGTTCAAAATCTTACTCTACTGGATGCAAACATTACTCAGGAGGGCCTAAGCACAGTCATCCGTGCTTGCAGAGAGTTGAAGTCGTTTCGCTGGACCCCAGGTGACAGCAGTTTCCTAGATATGCAGATCAAGCCGCAAGATCTAGCTCAGGCTCTGTCACCGCATCGAGATACTCTCGAATGTCTGCATATCGACTACCAAGGCCAGTGGCGCAATCAAGAATGGTACGTCGAACTAGAGGGCTTCTTTATCGGTACGTTCCTGCGGGGGATGGTCTCGTTGAAGACATTGCACATCGGCATGGAGGCTTTTACTGGTTTCACTGATCTTTGGACAATCCCAAGCCTTTACAACAACTTCAATCAAGAGGAGAAGGTGTCGGAATTGAAGAGAGTTCCGCGACTCGTCAATCATATACCTCCTAATCTGGAGAGCCTCGAGCTGTACGGGTGCACCATGGAGATACTACCTCATATCCGTGAACTCGTGGACCTGCATCAGACTGGAGAAAGATGTGCGAGCTTGCGGAAAATTCAGCTACGCTTCAATGCAGACTTGGTTGATCCAAGTAAAGTCAGCATGATTTGCGATGCAAATTCGAGCGTTTTAGACCTGGAATTCATATATGACCAGGCGCCCATTTGAGGAGCGCTGAAGACTTAAGTCATAAGTGCATACGTAGAAATCAACTTATTGAATCAAGCGACAACGATTGATCGACTCATGTTGAAAGGCGCTTGTGAATTCGAGCCATCTAAGATGATTATCGGGCATGCTTTGATCCGATCGTCGAGCCCCTTGCCGTGTAAAGAAGTTGTTTGAAGATGCCAAATATAGAATCCAATGGATCTGAGCTTCTCTACTATCACATTATCATGGTTATGAAAGTTGTTATCGCCAAAGAAACCTAAGCAACATTCTTTTGAGGGGATTCCAAGTCTTGCAGCTTGCCATATGCAAGGTCTTTTTGTCAGCAGGGGTTCTCCCACACCCCTCTTCTTCAACGCTCCATTATGTCTGCATAGGGATCACGAGACACATCCTATCAACACAATTCGTCAGCAGCTTATCTGAGGATACTGAAAGGTGGGATCTGATCCCAGCCTACTTCCCGATCGATCCGTTTTTGGCAGCTTCCCGTGCGTAGATCCCGCTCTCCTAATGCCCTCGAGGGCCACGACGACAAGGGTATAGCTATTGGTGGGTATGAAAGTCAGGCTGTGATATTGGACGTATTACCTCGATGCAGCCATCTTCTGGATAAAGCCGGTCAGGTGGCAGATAGATGCTCGTCAATGTTGCAACTTCCCTATCGAGGCATCATCGGCAAATGCGGCTACAACAAACATATGAGATAGTACATATAAGTCTGTCATATTCCTTCGGGCCTTCGCTTCGTCTGGAACTAGAAACCTACTCTCATCTCACGCTCCCTCCATTCTGTTGATCAGCTTTGACATCATTGTCATTGATGGTCAATCTCTACCTCATGATAATTACAAAGCCATAATCAACCCACGACGCTACTATCTAGCACACTCATAAATCAAGGGTTAGTAAGGCTGTATCTAGTACCTTCTGTTCTTCAATGACTCAAGCTAACACGGCCCATAGGTCTACAAATATAGCGCGCTACACACGAATTGAAGACCATCATGTCCGCCTGTCTACGATGCAATATCGCGCCTGCCTTACCCGGCCATCGCTTCTGCAGCCCTTGCGGCAGGATAATACACGCCGGCAGCCTGCAGCGTTCGGGACTTTGTATGCGCGGCTGTGGCCGGACCGCGAAGCAAGGTCACCGATTCTGTGTTCCTTGTGGTAGGTCGTACTACCGTTAGTCGATATTGAAAGGCTTATGTGTATTACTGCCTCTGCTATGAATGAAACCTGCTGTGGAGTATGCCATGGCTTGACCATATGTTATCACAATCAGAAAGCGTGCATCGGTTTAGAGTGCTTCAAGATCAAGACCCAAATGTTCTCAACCTTAAGCTTGCTGAGGAGAACCTTCGTCGCTTGTAGTCTCGATGGTAAGTCACTGGCGCTAGTATCTAAGGTAGTAATTCTTTCCAAAGGCTTTTTTGTTCAAATAATTCGACCGGATTCAATCCGGTGCCAAGTTGGCGGCCTTCTGGCTGACAAGCGGACCTGGACATGGCCCTGATATCAGTGAGTTACGGGACACCGTGACAAACCACCATCTATCCAGGGTCGATTCGGGGTTTGTAGGACAAAAGCCAACGTCGTAACCTCAAGAGCAATGCCCCAACCTCAACCTCAACTCTGAACCAAAAGAAAGACGATTTAATGCCATCTTTGCGTGATTTGCAAAAGAAGAGAGGTCCATCCAGGATTCGAACCTGGGCCTACGGAAATTCCGATAATCAGAATCCGACGTCCTAACCAACTAGACTAATAGACCGGTGATAACCGGCGCTAATATCTTGCGCTGGTCAAGCGAGGTCGAAGCAAACTTGAGAACCTTGCAGGTGGACGAAGTCATCCAAGGCGCAGTGTTTGCTAGGCTGCTGCAGACTACTTTTGGCATCGTCAGTTGAGTTTGGGCATTGCCCTACTCAGTGCGCTTCACTGAATGTGCCCAGAACTTTATTGTTGGGGCAAATGAGGAGAATTTGGAGAGTCGCGCATTGATGGGGCAGAGCGGCTGTCAGAGAGACAGCGATACTGTCGGAGTCTGTCGCGTGTTGGCATCCTCAGCTCAGGGCTTAGCACAACAGTAGGCGGAGCTCCTGGTCGCAACTTACAACGTGCAACACTCGGCGATGTCGAGATTGTTTCGGCCCCGAAGTTCTCATAAATTCAAACGCATCGTCTGAGCTTGGTATGCACAGATGCACACGTTTGTTTGCCAATCCGTAGATGCAGGGACTGGTGCCAGCCCATGTTCGTCACTGACCCCAAGGGTTTGAAAATAAGTGCACGCTCAGACGAGCCATGTGCTCCGTTTCAAAACGCAGCTGATAGATGAACGGCCTTTGTTTCATCGGATGTCAAGATCGGACGTCGCCAGGGTGCTTGACAGCAACAACGACTCATTGACTTCTGGTCGTCTGTGACCCAAGTACTTGCTGATACCTATTCTTCTGGAGATCCATGATTATCGATGTTCCTGAATCCGGTCACTTGGATGACGTTCTTGAGGCAGCTGCATGAAAGCTGTCTTCCTCAGCCGAATCCTACTTTGGAGCCATCCTCGTAGCACGGTCCATAGGTTGTCCAGTGACTGTAATCTGTTATGCCGACGACGGCGATGACGACGCTGACGAGGTAATCTGCTGCTGGAAGCTGGATAATCGGCTCAAGGATCGGGAGACGGGGGCGGGGCTCCGGACATCGCTTCGCATCAAGTTAATGGGAGGAGGAATCGCCGTCCGGGTTCCTCAGGAGAAGGTCCCCTATTTCGTACCCATGGAACCCATGAATTTGTCGTCTTTTGACCGCAGCCCACATGGCTGCGTTCCCACTCGAACAGCAACGTCATGTTGTGCCGGTGTGGAGAGCCACGAGTCGAGGTTGCCGTTGACTCTGGGGGCAAAGGAAATCTGAGGGAGAGCAATCTCTTGTGAATCGGCCAGTGTTGGAGGATGCTCTAACGGCTCCAGGACGACTGTAACCTGGCTCAGGGTATGTTTGCTGTGCTGCAGGTCATTGTTCGTGCAGCGCAATTGGGGTTCAAATGCCGAGGACGCAGCGGCAGCCTGCGTTGCGCACACGAACTGCAGGCTGCTGCATGTGGCCGTTGAGACGAGGAGTCCGAGACATGTTACGAGGTGTAGACTACACAGAAGCAAAGATAGGATGGTCTTGAGTTTGGCCAGTGTCTCTGCATGATATTCCAACTTCGCGTACCACAGCCGAAGCTGCAACTAGCGAGCGCGCAGCTTAACGCAGTAGAGGACGGGACAGTAGGTCAGAGGGAGACTGATGGGCCAAGACCAACAAAGGAACGTGTGGTGTCCGCAAAGCGCCGGCGCTGCGACGCGATCCTCGACCCACCGAAAAAAACGTTGGAAGCCGTTGTCTAAGTATATCGCAACGTCTCATTCTTGTGCTTGGTGGCGTGCAACAACAGCTGTGAAATTTCTTCTTTTCGCCCCCCCTTTCGGTCCGTTGAAGGACAAGACCAACCGGTAAAAAGCTGCCAAGAGGCGTTTGCTAAGTTGAAGAGGTCGAGATCGGGCCAGGCTGCCACGGAGAAGGGGGAATGAATGGGCAACCGTTTACGGTTTGGGGCGTTTAGAGAAGAAATCATTCCCCAGTGACCGGGCTCGCTTGAGTGTCCCTAGCTTGGCTTAGACCACCAGCAGAGGCGGCGCGGTTACCGCGAGTTTCCAGCTGCAATGCGTAGGACTCACAGCAGACTCCAGAGCATTTTCTGTATCCATGAACCTCGCCTTCTCACCAGTAGCTGCGGTGGCAGCCGTGGGTCTCGACAGGCCTTGTGAGCGGCCTAGACGGTTCAATCCAGCAGGACTTTGATCAAATGGTTTGCTCGCAGGTCCCTAACGAGTAGTGTATGTAAGCGCCCGGAACCTCCTCTCAAGGACCGCACAAAGTTGAGTTTCACATTGTGGCAGCGAAGCACCGGGAAGCAACTTGTACGGGGTAGTGGCCGGTCGTTGTGCGTCTGAATGAGCAGTTTCCGCAGACACTGGTGACGGGTTGGTGGCACGAAAGAGGAGTCACGATGGCCCTGTTGCGACGAGGGCCTGTTGAAGGGCCTTGCAGTTTGTGCCCAAGTCGCGACGGATAGGGGCAACGAGGAGGGGGGCATGCGACGACTTGCGAGGTGACGAGGTTCTAATTAGTGCGACCGATGCGCGAAGTGGGCAAGCTCGGGCCGTCCAGAGTCAAGACTCCCATGTCAAGCAACGTGAGGACCTAGGCGATGCTCATGATCCATTATTCATGGCCGGCCGCTGGTCCCTGGCGAGAAGGGAGTCTCCCTCTTGAGAAGTTCACAGCAATGTTGGCCCACCAAAATCATTGATCTCCGGCGTGATCTCCAGAAGTTCAGGTTGGTCTATGTTGGTGGACATGACCCTGGGGAGGATTTCGGGTTTCATCCGAGGACTTGCGGTTGCAGCTGCAGCCCCCAAGTTTGATTATCGTTGAAGTGCGAGTTTGGACGGAGAGACAAAGATGGGACTGAGACACATGAGACGATTTTGTCCGGGTTGTGTTGCTGCTGGTCACCGTCGACGGCCGGCCCCGTTCAAACTTGACGATGGATGGGCTGCGAGCTGCGAATTGGCATCCGAATTGACCATGCTGCCCGGACGAAGAATATCCGTACGGAGAGGCTACAGCGGCGTAGGTCAGTAAAATTAAGAATGAGGAAATCGACACTAGAAGAGGCTTCTCCGCAAGTGATCTGAACGGGGAATAGGGATGAAGGATGATGACATTTCCCGGGCGATGAGCAACCGCGACTCACTTCCATGTTGCGACTGCACAGACCGTCGGACGAACGTTCTGGGAAGGAAGGAGAGAATCCTAAGATTTGACACTCGTTTTTTGGGAAGGAACGGGGGGAGGCAACAGGGTGAGTCCTTGCTGGCTGCCCCTACTGGAAGCGACTTTCTCAGTGACTTCCCTCCGTCTTTCCCAATCGCTCAGTTCCTTCCAAATTCCAAAATACCGCACTGACGGCAAACTCTTCTTTCTTTCCCGTCCCTCTCTAACGCTCCACCCCACTCATGAGCCAACCAACCAACTGGCTGCAGGCACTCAGGCACCCCCGGCCAGTCAGAGCGCACGAGACACTCTGAGCTGATCATCCAAGGCTTAGCGTCAGGAACCATTTTCTCAGTGAAATGCAGGAACGAGTTGGCCAGCCGCGAAACGGAAGGACAAGAAGCCTTGGGTCTCACCAGCTGGGTCCCGCTTCCACCGCACCTTAAACCAATCACCAGGTGCTGGTGGCTCGGGGAAATTGTGCAGTTCAATCTTTTATGAAAAGCCCACTCACATCGTCGCTGTATCGGGAATGGACGATTCGCGCTCTTCTTTCCTCGTGTGCCACCCATTTCGTCCATTTCGCGGCAATTTGTGTCGCATTGGCGAGGGGATCCAAATGACGAGGTGCAAATTATGCCATTTAACTCTTCAATAATGCTGCCGCTATTCGCCCTGTTAGAGAGCATTGTACGAACAATCACCGCCTACTAAGCCCGTTTGCGGCTGGTAACAATGCCTTTCTCTCCTTCCTTCTGTCAACCCCGGCCTGACTTTGTCTTGGACATCAAGAATAAGCAAGCCGAGTGATGGACCGTTGGGCCTGTCTCGCCCGGCACAAGGTGTTGTTTCCGTCTTAGCTCGGCCGAGCGACTTCTCAGGAGTCGGACTACCCGCCTGGAATCAACCGGAAGAATAAGAAGTAAAAAAGAATGGCACTATTCATGGCGCCGCTGACCACTGCCCGCAACGGATGTTGCTTATTCTGGGTTCTTGCTTCTATTGCTGGCTCTTGAGACTTGCGGATTGCGCTCAGCCCGCGTCAGGATCACACAAGGCTTCTAAGAAAAGCGCTGTCACTGCGTCAGGGCAAACAACGAACAGCTTCCAATCGACACTCTGCCGATCCGTCGTTGCTGGCGTGATGAATAGTTGGCGGTTGGTTGTTTGCACAATTATCCATTCACAAAGCGCACCAAGGCAAGGCGCAAGGTAACGTGGTCGACTGCCAGCGAACGCAATGCTGTGCTTTTGCGCCTTAATTTCCCGCGAAGATCCAGACCCCTGCCTGCATAGGTATTGAGCCTGCATACGAATGGTCGTGTGTACAAGCTACCACCGCTGAACCTTGGCGGGTAAAAATGTTCATTGTACTTGGTGCCTCTAGGAGGATGGTGGGCTTGCAGCATGGCCAGCAGCCTTGGACACGGGTACCTTGCAGCTACCTCTGTGATACCTCACCGGCCGAGTGACGATGGCCTCCGTTGCGACAATTCGGTTGGCTTTTACAGACTCTCAGTAGCAGACCAGGCCCGACTTGCGACTCGCACCGCAGTAAGCATCTCATCTCCTTTTTCCCTCCTGTGTCACTGTCCCGTCCCAGCCGTACCTGCCGTCTCTTCTTACATGCTCCTTCCCCGGGATACATCTGGAAAGAACTGGCAGGTAAGGACAAGGAAGGTAGGGCCGAGCACCTCCACCTCTTGCCCTCTCACAGGCTCACGGACCACAGCTAACGTCCTTTCCTTCCTCCATCTCTCTCGTGGGCCGGGCTTGGCTTTCATTTTGGGTGTGAGCGCCTTCCCTGTCGGCGCCTGCATCGTCGTCGCCCCTGCCAGTCACCTCACAGGCTCACAGTCCACGGGGATGAGGCCCTGCCGCCTGGGAGGATCCTGGACCTCCAGACGTCTCCCAGACTCCCAGGTTGCCAGGCCCCCGGGTAAAGGTACGGAGTACTTCGTTGTTGCTGCTCATTTTCACCCGACGCTTGCATCCGTAACCCTCGCCTGATCCGCCTGCCCCCGTCGCTTGCCTCCCCACATCCAAAACCCACGTCTTTTCCCACTTCTCGCGAGTCTGGGTCCTCTCTCCAGCATCCTCTTATTCAAACCACTCCCCCCCCGATCCATAACCCACAGACTTCGTTGGCAAAGTCTCCTACTGCTTCACCCTTCTTTCGCTTCACGCACAGTCGTTGAAACAAACATCACCAAACCTGAATTACTCGAAGTATTCGGACTAACACTCATTCCTATTTACATCCGCGGACAGACGCCCTCTTGTCGCAAACCAACAACAAGCGCTCCCCGCCAAAAAACCACTCACTGCCTTGGCTTAGACACAACAGTAAACACGCCAACACATATATACATCTGGCTGTCCCATCTCACGCTTAGCAACAAGGCAAGCAGTACGACTTACATCACGATCTTTGAAAGACCCAACACCAAGCATACGCATCATAGTGTGGAACGGATTACTTCCGACGCACATACATATTCGATTCGGTCTATACTTCGTCAGGCTTCGACAGTTGACCAGTACAATCACCAAAAACACCCACTTACAGACACAATGAAGGTCACCACGATTCTTGCTGCTTTCTTGCCCGTCTTGGCGCTCGCCCAGACCTCAAGCGGTGATACGACGACGGTTACTTCCACGGCTACCCAGACCAAGACCATTACTCTCGAGCGCGCGCACACCACCACCATGACCTACGGCACCGGCAACAGCACCGCGACGTTCAAGCCCACCGGCTCCGTTGTTGCCTCTGCAACTGCTGCGGCTACCGCTGCAACTACCTCGAAATCCAATGCGGGCGCCGCTCTCAACGCCGGTAACCTGGCTTTCGCTGGTGTTGCTGGTATGGTCGCTGCTATCATGTTGTAAAGCGGCATCACTGGATGCGCAAGACGAAGGTGTGAGGAAATGGACGACGGGTGAAAAGTTGCGATGTGGTTGGAGGAATGTTGCCAACTGCATCTGAATGCCATACCGAACTCTTCGATGCGACATCTTTTCAGCTTTCTCTTTTGTCATCGCCTCCAACCCTGGTTCGGCGCAACATCGCTACCGATGTGAGTGCGGCCTATTCTTACGAACTTCACGACCTTGAGATTGGGAAACCACTTGAGTTGACGGCACACACTATACCCTTTTCCTCTTCGACACCAACCATGTGCGACGCTTGCATCGCCATCCTGCAGGAAAGGAACCGACACGCTAGTCAACTAGGGCTTCTTGACAGCGATCAACCTTTTTTCACTCTGACTTCAAACGACACTGACTGTCCGCCGCCTTTCTTTTATGGGTGGCGGACGGCTTGCCACCTCATGTTTTAATGTTTCGATTCTTCCCCAGCAGCACAAGGGTCGCATGGAATGCGTAGTCGATCTGCCCTTCATGCACGTCGTTGGCCATGATCACCCAGGGCCTTCTTCAACACAATCAACTGTCTGGTTCTCTAGACTGGCGGGTCGTGTTGGGGATGGCATCGAGTCAATTCACGCCTGATGGTTTTCAGGCTGTCGTTGGCTCGAGTTCCTGGCCAGGCACTGATGTTGCTGCAGGTGTGCTTGCTGGCTGGAAATGATATTTACGGGATCTTTCGCAACGTCTTTTCTCAAGGGAGGATTTAAGACGGAAATGATCAGGATGGATGATTTAGGGATTTACCGGAGTTCTCGTGATGGAACAAAAGTTTCACTCTTCTTCGAGTTGTTGATACCCCTATTGCTGTATGGTTGCCGGCCGGGGTTGGACAGATCAAGCTGCACTTCCGAGGTTGCCCTTTTCGAAGTTTTAACCTTGGCTCTCGCTTGCTTGGGTTGTCTGACATTGCCCAGTCGGTAGGAGGACGCGATGGATTTGCTTTGATATTTTCGGATTGACGACCGTTTTGATTGAATGATGGCATGGTCCGAGACGATTTTGCCTTGCGAGGGGGGCTTGGAGGCCATTGAAAGGAGTTTTAAGGACTTGAGAAGAAGCATTTACTGGTAGCATAGTTGAACGAATTCACTGACATGAGCTTATGGCTCTGTTCCATCAAACCCTTGCATGCTCCTACCACGACAAGTGACAGGGACATGAGGACTCGGCTCATGATTCCACACAGCATTGGCAATCCTGACCTCTTGATTGGAAAGATCCGGGAAGCGAGTAAGACAACGACCCCTCGGCCCTTGAAAAACGAAACCGTTGGGACGGAAAGCCCCGGTACGCCGACATTTCGATAAGCCTTCTTAATAAGCATTGCCGCTGTCAGACAGCCGGCCAGTTTTGATTGGTCGGGGTGCAATCACCGCCCCCCGATATGCCGATTCAATCCGGGGACCGGGGGGTGTAGCCAGCTGCAGGGCCTAATTTCTAGTGGTCATTTTTTCTTGGGACCTGTTTTTTTGCCCCATCACAGCTGTTTGTCTGCATCAACTCTCAACCAAGCTCTCTCGCCCGCAACATCGTCGGCTGTTGCAATCACACGGGCAACTTCGAGTGGGAATCAAACGAAACACAAACGACAGTTAATTGCAATGCCATCGCCCATAGCACCTCTTGCCCGCGTGCAGGCTCCTCTGCGGCGGGCTCTCGCCTCGTCGGCTCGCTCCCGAGCCTTCGCCACCGTTCCTCCCACCTTCGGCACAACATCCGAAGCAGCATCGCAACCCCCGAAAGCCCGCAGACCGACCTACTTCAAGGACAAGAGCCTCGCGTCGCTGGACGACTTCATCGCGAGCAAGGGCGACCCCGCGGCCCTCTCCGAGGCCGAGGCCTACGAGATTCGCACCGTCGAGGTCACGGGCCCGACGGGCAAGAAGAAGACCATCACCCGCCTCCCGGAGTGGCTCAAGACCCCCATCCCCGCCGGCAACGAGAACTACAAGTCCATCAAGAAGGATCTGCGCGGTCTGGGGTTGCACACGGTATGCGAGGAGGCCAAGTGCCCCAACATCTCCGAGTGCTGGGGCGGCTCCTCCAAGAGCGCAGCGACGGCGACCATCATGCTCATGGGCGACACGTGTACGCGCGGATGCCGTTTCTGCAGTGTAAAGACCAACCGCGCGCCGGCGCCGTTGGACCCCCATGAGCCGGAGCACACGGCCGAGGCGCTGGCTAGGTGGGGTTTGGGATACGTTGTTCTGACGTCTGTTGACCGCGATGACCTGGCGGACGGCGGAGCGCGGCATTTTGCCGAGACAATCAGCAAGATCAAGGCCAAGAAGCCGAGTCTGCTGGTCGAGGCGCTGACCGGCGACTTTATGGGCGACTTGGACATGGTGAAGATTGTGGCGGAGAGCGGTTTGGATGTATATGCGCACAATGTTGAGACGGTGGAGGCGCTGACGCCGTATGTGCGTGATCGGAGGGCCACGTTTGCGCAGAGTATCAAGGTGCTTGCGCGGGTCAAGGAGGTGAAGCCGGAGATGATTACCAAGACGAGTCTGATGCTTGGCTTGGGAGAGCAGGAGGAGGAGATTATGGATGCTTTGAGGCGTACGTTTGTCCCTATCATTCTCTGGCTTATAGCCAGGAAACCGCGTGAATTGAAGTCAAGGCCGGAAAGAAATGCTGACATTTGGGGAAACACAGAACTTCGCAAAGCCAACGTCGACGTCGTCACCTTCGGCCAGTACATGCGCCCGACGAAGCGCCACCTCAAGGTCGAGAAATACGTCACCCCCGACGAGTTCGAGATGTGGAAGCAGCGCGCGCTGGATATGGGATTCCTGTACTGTGCCAGTGGTCCCCTGGTGCGGAGCAGTTACAAGGCCGGCGAGGCGTTTATCGAGAACGTGCTGCGCAAGAGGGCGGGCGAGAAGGCTGGCATGGCCGCGAGCGGTAGGCTGGGCCAGACCGTTGCTCTGGAGGAGGGGTTCAAGACGCTTTAGACCGGATTGTTGCTGTACTTTTACAGCGAGAATTGAGGATGTACGATCTGTGAGGATGGTGATGAAATAGACTAGGGGATGAGATGGATAATTGTCAAAGGGGGGTTAGATGGCATGGCTGGCGTTAATATTTTTGGGCTGGACGACGGGAAATTCATTCATCATGGGCATCGCCATCTTCTACCCCCGGGTGGCACACTTTCGACATACAACCTAGGTGCATAGTAGACCTATAAGAATATACGGATGCCGGGTGGTCTTCAACAATGGCCACTAAGAGCTATGAATTTACATCCGGGTCTCATGTTACTCCGTGCGTGCCATTTTCAAAGGGGTATGATGACTCAACTCGGGCACGGTGGATCTGGAGCTATCTACTGGTATGATTTCAACCTTACCTCCTCCTCCTTTCACTTCTCTACCAATTCGAATGGGTGGTCTCCGGCGTTTTTGTACCACGATCATAACTCGGCCGATTGATGAATCGTCGGAATCCTCAGGGGTAAGACCTCGAACCACCTAGTCGCCTCGTTGTGCCTGGTCCTGGCAATCGCATACCAATCTACGGACCCTCTGTCTGAGCCAAGATCGGATTCAGGAGGCAGGAATCGAAAAAGTTCAGAGACGTCGGATTTCCGCATCTTCAGCTCGAAGAAGGGAGAAGATGGCGTGGTCTTGAGAGGAGGCCCTAATTTCCCGGCGTTCCTGATGCGTGTTCCGCGTTCAAAAACTCACCGGATAGGGCTGTTATCGATTTCTTGAATCGGGTTTTAGTGCGTGTGAATGGAGAGACACCTTAACGGTCGAGTCTTCAAGAAAGGAGTCCTTTACTTATCAGTCTCTTGGCCTGCACCTCTGATCCCGCGGGATCCCTTCAAATAACACGGGATCTACTGAGGTATGGGCGCCTGAGAATGAGGGCATACGCGGCTCATGTCTGCTTTGATCTTGGCTTTTTCAGCTGAGCATTTTTTACAGGGGAGCTGTTGGCTTTGGGGATAAGCGATGCTACTCTCATGCATCAATGGACGAGCGATAGATGTACCAACCCAATGGCCAAGGGGACGGCCGAGAATCTGGTAGCCGCAATGCGAGAGAAAAGCTGGCCTTGACCACCCCGGCCAACACCAATGCACCGTCCCATCACTTTTCATTCCAGGCCGGGGGAAAGCTTGGTCCTGTTCCTGTCATCTTTCCCGAGAAGTTTCTTCGCCATTCATCCCCGGCGACATCTACCAAAAGCGATTATCGAAAGTTGAAACAAACGAGACCATAAGTGTCCTTGGTCAAGAATTAGCATCGCCGAACATCGCGTTAGAGCATAGGCTCCCGTTGGGAGTAAACGCCAACGGCCAACGTTCTGTCTCCCCTCGTTCCATGCGATGAGTGGAACTCCACTTCATGCACTGGCTCCCTTCAGACCAAGACACCCTGGACATCCCTTCTAGTTCTAGGTTGGTTTCTCACCGCGAAATGCCTCTCTCTCCTTAGGCCAGGCTCTCATGCATGCCCTCCCACCTCTCTTCGCTCACTCACCCACACGACATCATCCATAGATCACCAGCACCAAAGCAGATCAGCAGCTGCATATGCATCCTGCAATAATGATGCGCGTTCACGGTCCCGGAGGCGTCCCTCATTTCCCCCTCATTCATCATTTCCCGCCCCGACCTATCCCACACAGGCCTAGCACACCCTCTAAAGGCTCCAATGCACTCCACCTCCCCCCTCGTGGGTTGCCCGTGAAGTATCCGTAGGCTGGAATCACACTAAAACAACTGAGTAAGAAGCTTGCTTTCTTTGTCAAAGCCTGGTGTACCTGAACGGCGTGGACAGCCAGCCACAAGACGCCTTTCGAACGCCTAGCGGATGACTGCCTCGTCAGCGCGTTGGGTCGCGAAGTAAATATTGGAAGCTTTGCGTCTTTTAGATTGAATCTTGTCGAAGGTGAGATGTGCAGCAGTTCACCCGGTCATTGTAGAGGCAAACAATGCTTTCCGGGCCGGTATGAATACGTCTACGCATCTGGTGGTCATTTCTTTCCTGCATGACATAGCATCTACAGTCATCCTGTCCGTCTGTCCCATGTTGGGAAGCGAATGGAGTAAGACGCGCGCGGGGAATGAGTGAGGGAGTAAAGCAGGACTAAAAACTACGGGAAGCTAAGTAAATGAGACACACTGCTTTTGATTTTCTGCCCACGTTCATCCCCCCCAGTCTATCCCTTTTTAGAACCTTTTTTATGATAATTTCTTGGTCTATCAAGAAACGAACGGCAAAACGTCCCGCAAAAGCGCGGTTCTTGGTTCCTGAGAGGCTGAGTAGCGTTGAACCCGTCGTTCCACGGCTCCCACAGCTCTCTCGACCTCGTCTCCTCCACTTCAGCCCAACTCTAATAAAGTATCCCAGGCTTGTCGCCCTTCACCCCTTGTCGCTCCGTCAACTTTGTTCCTTTTTCCCCTACGCCTATTTGTACTCATCTTCCACTTACTCGGGACGTCCGGGCCTGAGAGTGTGAGTAGTAATCTACCCGATCTCAAGGTTCGTCCCACTGCTGGGGGTCCCTGAATGTCTATAGCTTTCTGATCCGTTGCCCTTATTGCTGATTCTGCTGAGAATCGCGCCACTCCTTTTTCTATTACTTGATTGACTTTCCTGCTCACGCCTCTCTTTTTCCTATCTCTTTTGATCTTCACCTTGCTGGTTTATTGATCAGGAGGGGAAGTAACCACGTTCATTACACAAATCTCTCCATCGAGTTCCGAACTCATCCACTCATTGAAATCGCACCAGCGCAGTCTATCTCGCTCTCACTTCCACCACACTCATTCGAATTCCTCGTAATCATAGTATCTTCACCTTACTCGAACAGCAAATCAACAAGCAACCCGTCAAAATGCGCGTCACAGCCGCCTTCTGGCTCGCGGCCGCGACCCTCGCCAAAGCGGCCTACTGGATGGAAGACATTGCCCACCAGGGCATCTCCCCCTACCACCCGGACCCGAACTACAAAGTCTTCCGTAACGTAAAGGACTTTGGCGCAAAGGGCGATGGCGTGACGGACGATACTGCGGCGATCAATCTCGCCATCAGCTCCGGTGAGC